ATCTAGTGGGCACAGAGGTGACCACAGCAACGCCAACAGTCCTCCTTTGTCTTTTCAGTACGCTTGAGAGAGACACCACCTGTTCCTGTGTTCATACAGAGCAGCAAAACAATGAGGGCTCGCTGGGCTGTAAACAGACCAAAGCCCGGACTGCAACGGCCAGCTGCACAGTCATGTGTGTTTTCAATATGTGACCCCGTCACAGTCGAGTCAGCAGATATTGCACCAACCATAGCCCTGCTGCTGCTAAAAGCGATACTGTGTCAGTGACGGACGGCAGAAGAAGGGGAACTTAATGCTAACACACGTGGTTAATGTTTAACTGTGTTCCATAAAAGCCGGCATTGGCACTTCACTATACGATTTGTATGGAAATGTACAACAAAGAAAGGCATGCCCAATGAGTTTTCTTATCTAACCGTTTCATTAACTAAATTCAGCTGAAAAACTGGAAATATACATATCAAACGCTGGGTCAGATTCAAATTGTATGGGCAAAAAAAGATTTTCTTATAAATTAAATTACATGGGAATATGCTAATTTAAGCCGACAATGAAGGGAAATGTAAGGTCTTTTAGCATCGTTGAACAGATATGCTGGATTTAGTCAACCCAGATCATATTGTCATATATATGTCAGGATAACATTGTATTATATAAGGGTCTCGATCAAGAACAACGTGGGTGATAACAATTTGATTTCCGACAAGAACTTTGAGCTTCCCACTTCCCAGAAAATGAACAATCTTTTCAAACTGATTTCTCGGAACGACTAAAGGAAGTAGCTGGAAATCTCTGTGGCTGCTGGAATTTTTTTCTGGAAAGCTGCCGGAGGGTTGTCATCCTCCTTGTAAGCCATTCAAATGTGTTCTTGCCCAAATCTCTAAATCGTAGTACATCAACAGGACCAATGGACAAAATGGAGAGAGCAAGACCAAGGACGAAAGATATTCCCTTTTAAAATCAGCATCGACGGTATCAAAGCCGAAATTGAAAGAAGGTTATGACACATCTTCAAAATATGTTTGCAATTAGATTCAAGATGAATATTGGACAGGTGTGCCAGCTGGTGATTTTGATCTGTGGTGTTCTTGCAAAAAACAGAAACCACTGATGATGATCTAAAACCTTCGCAATGTTGGACCAACCCACCAGCCTGGCCCCAGCTCCACTGGCACTGCCTTCATCTCAGACATGATCATTATCCAAACTGGTTCAAACAATGCAATTAAAGATACAAATGATGTGCTGCAAGAGTGATGACCATATGCTATAAACATCTATGAAGTCATATGATTAGTTATTTAATGCATGTGCGTAGGTGTTGTCGCATCAAACTGTCATGTTTTGTTTCAAGAAGGGAGTGAAATGACTTCAATGTGAAGTGCACGCCACACAGGAAAAATAGTTCCTGTTGAACTGGTTATTTTCCTCCACAATGCTCACATTACACTGACAGTAACCAAAACAGGCGAAGATCTGAGCGATCGAGTAACAGGTGCATATGGGTTTCACAAAAGAAAAAGAGAAAGTGGCCCCGTTCCATGGGAACGGCAGCGATATATTGTTGTTAAATGGGGCGATAAAGGGCATGTGGTGTCACTGTGCCAGAATCAGCTAAGGTTTCTCTCTTGAGGGTTGGGGCTTTGGGTCGAATATTGACCGCTGATGGATTTTTCAGGGGGGTTGGTCCCAAAAGAGTTGACACAGTTTAGACCTCTTTAACTGACCAACCTTCAAATTGTGTAATAAGATAATTCAAGTAAATCTAGTCTTGAAAAAATACAGAGTCAGTGACTAGTGGGATCTATTAACATAAATGAACTATAACTATGTTTTCATTTGAGTCTTTTATCTTAAATAAAGAACTGCTGTGTTTTTGTTTCTTTAGAATTAGGGATGCTCCGATCGATATCGGCCGATACTAACTCTACCGATCGATCGGTGCTCTCTAAAAATGCCGATCGCATGACGTAAAATACATGACACTTTTCTCTGTGTGCGGCAAAACAAGCTCGCCAAAATGGCTTCACCAGCCTGGCAGTATTTTAAGGTGTCCGAAAAGGACAATAAATTAGCGGTATGCAACGTGTGTGAAGCAGAAATCCTGCAGCTCCACCCGCTGTGACGGACTGGTGAGCGGAGCAACACACACACTAAGAGTTAGACCTAACACACTTAGCTATTTTATCTACCTCTGGAACAAGCTAAACTAGTTATACATATATTTATTCTTCACTGTCGGGTCACTCATTACTGGATCAGTAGGCTGCATGAGATACTGACAGGAGAGAGAGAGAGGAAAAGAGAGGCTCCCGTTATTTCTCCCGTGTTATTATCCAAAGTTAATGTAAACTTGAATAATGTACTTCATTTGAATGTAATAATTATGTTGGTTGTTGTTTGTGGAAGCTCCAGTGAATGAGCCCCATTAACTGAGTTTTAAACATCACTTTAAATGGAAGATCCCCCCCATCCACACTCGATCGGATCGGCGATCGGTATCGGCCGATACTGATTCCGGCCCCAAAATTGGCGATCGGAGCATCCCTATTTAGAATGAGCCCTTTAAATCTACGTGGGAGATTATTCCCATGAACCGGAATTTCTCTACAGTAGCTCAGAATTTACAAACCAATCTTTCAATCTAGCCTTTCACAGTTTCTACCTGAAGGCCATTGTAGTTCTCCGACGAGTTTGTAAAACTGTGGCAACGCCAGCTACCGCCTGAATTGTATAGCTCCCAAAGTATTGTGATGGAAAAATGGCCTCTAAGCAAAGGTGTTACTATGGTTTGAACTGCTTGGTTTGGGAGGGGTTCACATCTGTATCCATTATGTAAAATAATGCCAAATCCGACACACTGTCCCTTTAAGTCCACGGTTGACTTAATCAGTGGTGCCCTATCAAAGGGTCGAAGACAGATCTGTGGGGTCGTAAAAGGATTAACAGGGGACAACAAAAATGTTTGCTGCTAGACCAAATGATGTTTGTTTATTTTAGGTTTTTATAGCAAATCCTTTATTCCTAAAAACAAAATCTGTACAACTTAACCCTTGTTTCCAGATGAAACAAACAAAGGCATTCTTTGATGTCCCTGCTCTTGATTCATAGACATTTGGGGGGAAATGAGGTTGCAGCAGATATTGCTTTGTTTAGGGAACCACTAATCACAATCGTTGGAATACCAGAATGATATAAAGGCTATAATATAGTAAATCTCTTGTTTTAAGCATACTGGTTAATTTGTTGCGACTGATCGAAGTTCAAAGTCAAATGGGTTCTGCAAAATATCTCAACACTGCGTAACATGTACTATTCTTCCATATAAAGTCTGTTGAGAGATTAACTCAAAAACCCTCAGTTGGATTTATGTTCCAAGTTCAAAGAAATGCTGTGTTTGCAGGCGAGTGAATCCTGTAATTGTCTGAGTCAAAACAACTCTCCTCTGGGAGTTCAACGTAAGTCTCTATGATTTCCCGTATCAATGGCAGAAAAAAATAATTACACTCCCGTCACCTTTGAAGTGATGAATAATTCACAGACATGGGGAGCTTTCCACAGTTCAGAGATCTGGGGTGAGAGAGTATGCTAGAAAACGGTGTCATTCAAAAAAGGAAAACTCATGGTTTGTTATAGAAATGTCATGACAAATTCTCAAAAGTCATTATATGGTGTGTTAAAAATAATATATATATTTTGTGATTAACATCGAAAAAGGTCATGGTGGACTCATATTGGGAGAAGTCCTAGTACTATCATAAAAAAGTCACAGTACAGTATGCCATAACATCATATAATTCATAGAAGGTCATACAAATCAGTACTAGTCTAGTAGGCTTTAGTATGCCAACATATGGTAATGATATAGTAAACAAAAGGAATAAGGAATGTCATACAAATGGCCTAGTGCAGAATATTATTGAAAAAGTCTTAAAAAGCCATAGTTTAGTATGCCATAAATAAGTCCCACGAAAGTAATTGTATGCCATTAACAAGTCATACACAAATTATGTAATCATATTAAAACAAGTGATGGTTTTTAAATGTTACTGCTTGCAATTGCCCTCTTTCTTCCATTCTGAATACACAATAATCAACCAAAAGATTTTGTTTATCCTTTTCCCAACTAGAGGAGCTTTTTCCAAATCATGTAATTGCAAAGAAGCCATGCCAAAGACTAAATGTTTTCCCATCTTTCCCAGCAGGCCTCCTATGGAGTATGGAATAAAGGTGGGTGGATTACAGAGGCTGTAATTTACATAGGCATTTCCTGAGGCATGGGAAGTAACAACAAGACTCAATATACTGTAAATGATCACATCTGACTCCAGTTAACAACTTTTCTCTCATATAAACCAACGCGAAAAGTTAATACATCACACATTAAACCACCATGCAACATAGAATCTGGACACAAATGAAATACTCCCTCAGTGTTGATATACAAGGAAATTAGTTGCCCTCCACTTTTAACAAACTGCTTGTGCCTGAAGTAAGATTTCATGGGAAAATGAGTCTCACTGCGTCTCCCAACCCCCACTCCTGCACGCCCTCTCTGCAGTATAAAACTGTAATGACCTCCTCAGCTCCGTCAGAATAGGGCAGGTAGCCAGCTTCCTCACTAGGCAGCAGGCGTACCCTCCAGAGCTAACTGAAATAGCCTCCGACGCAAAAAAAAGAAAGCACAGTCAGTAAGAGATGACACACTCCCCTCCCCTCTGACTGCAGTGCACACAATACATCTTGATGGAGAGATATCTGCCTGGCCGCTCTGGAGAACCCATACAATAAGGAGCTGAAAGGCAGTGTATTTCTGTGTGATAATGTGCTACTTCAGTTGACCACAAAAGACACAGAAAAGTTAGAGGATGCTTGGAAAAGTGGCGCTGCTAGTCTGACCTTGGCCTAAATACCTCAAGTTGCTTCCCTTTTTCTACAGTTACCAATACAGTGATAAGTAAATGATTCATCAAGAAAAAACACAAAAACCCACTGACCTTAGGGCTGTTGTTAGGGCGGGTGCGGACGAGTGAAGGCGGGGGGTCATAGGTCAACAGTTGTACAAAGACAACCCCAAAGCCAAGCCCATTAGTCAATATGTCCTCCTGCTGTTTTCCAGACTGGCAGTTTAACAAGAGCTAAGGCTTCATTACAGACTTTGAGAGAGGAATAATTCAACTCAACGTCAGAAAACGGCCCTGCAGGCTTTATGGTCAGTGGTTAAATTCAAGCACATCCAATACGGACAGAGCATGATGAACGAGGCTGGGCAGGTAAACAGCCAAGGTGCTAATTCTAGAGTAGATTGCCCAGTTCATCAGTCATGATGAGCAAGAGAGGCAAGTGCTAGGCCTGTAAACACAAGCAGGAACATCTAACTAATGACGCAGCAGGGAGGTGGACAAAACCGGGAGAGACGAGGTGAAAGTAGCCTCTCAGTAGATTCCCAGAGAGTGGCGGAGTATTCGTGTTACGTAACTGTCAGTGAAAATAACTGATGCTTTTAAGGCCATCTGCCCACTCCGATTAAATCATATCCTGTCCTGAAGCTGGAAAGTCTTATTTGGGACACTTATGTTAGGCTCTGCACCGAGGTCCCATCGTGGGTATCTACAAAGTAGAAACCAAACTGTTGGGATCTAGTAATAGTGGGAACTAGTGAGTAATATACAGTCAAGTTATGAGGAATTGTATTAGTATAGACATTTGTGTGTCCTGAAGTCTCTTGACCTCTTGGAGGCTACTTATTTGGATCCCACATGTGAACAAACTTTTCTTTCCTTTCATGTTGGTTCTGGCCTTGGCTTTAAAACAGATAGCCTAATTGTATAATTTAATAAGTAATGAACCAAAGCAGGATTTCTTGGAAAAAGGGGTTCTCTGCCAAATGTAATTGTGTCAGTAATCTTAATCTACGATATATATCACATGATTTAAAACAAAAGGTTTGAAGAGGATGGAAGCTTTGCACAACTTCCTGATCAAGGCTGAATGTAACTAAAAACTATTGGTCCTAAAAGGTTGAACTCATAGCAGTGACATGAGTGTTTGGAATCCAAAATGACATAGTAAAAGCATTATTTGACCCAAGAACAAAATCCTCTTTAACCTGAAGTGGTGACTTCAATAATGACATGAGTTTCGCTTTACTTTCTCGTGTTCCCCAGGCGGATGGAGGACGCAGGGCTCATTGTTGTCGCTCCATATGGGACAGACAGGAAGGAGCTCGATCAGGCGCAAATTGACTACAAGCAGATTTGACATTCAAATTAGATGCAGATTTCTAACAGTTGGCTTTACTTCGTTAGTCCCCTGGCCCAGAAGAGTAGTCTGAAAACTACACTAAACAATGCCGATTCTATTGTTTAAACTAAAAATCGTCACTCACCGAACTAGCTTAAATTAAGCATTCTACAACAGGACAGCCAACTCTAAAACAATAACATGAAGACATTTTACCTTTTTTAAGGTCCGAGCAATGGCGAAGTTTCAGGTTATATTCCACTCAACTTCCCGTAAACACAGCAGAACAGCAAAAGCAGGAGGGGAAACGTCTGTGTCACTTCGGAGTCACTTTAGTTTCCAGGGCAGGAGAAGCAGGAGCTGCGGCAGGACATTCCCCGTGTTGGTGCTCCAATGTCCGTTTAGTTTGCATGTGTGTGGCGCACAAAGCGGCCCTCCCCCCTCCTTCCTCCTCCCTCCTCCCTCCTCTCATCTGCCCGAGAGCACCACCCCCCTGCTGAGGTTTAAAGGGACATAGCCCTATTTACCCACAACACATGACAACAGGCACCACTTCAACCTGCTGGGACTAACGGCAGTGAAATAAGATCCTCAAAGATATGACGAAAGCAAAGACAATTTAAAGGAATAGTTTGACGTTTTGTTAATGTGCACTTTTTACTTTCTTGTAGAAAAATTGGCAAGAAAGTCTCTTGCCAATTTAGATATACATATTAATACCATTGAAGGTAGGGAACCTCAAAGCTTAAGCCCACACAAGCTTTAGCATTTACTTAGCTTAGCATAAAGACCATAACCAATGGGAAATGGTAACCAGGAAGAAATAGTGGGCTAACTTTGTGTGACCCTGTAAAACTAAAACTTGGCATTTTACCACTTACGAATTAACAAAGCAGGCAGGTTCTGTTGCCTTTGGACAAAACAAAACGTTCTGTTTCCCCTAATTTCCAGTGTTTTGCTAAGTTCAGCTAGCATCTCTTGGCCTAAGCTTTTCTGTGGACAGATTTCTGACCGCAGAGTTTATGAAGCAAGCCCCAAGTGGCCATTTGATGATTCGCAAATCCGCGCATGCTTCAATTTTAAGCAACATAAGTTGCTGCTTTATCGCAAGATGGTCTCTTGTTTTATTCAGTCAATGTCAGTCAACTGTATTAGGATCTATTTATTCAAAAATACTTGAAATGTACGGACTTAATGTTCTTTCCATGTATAATTTGTAGCATTGAGGCACATGTAGCCAACAGCACATTTGCCCAGTTATAATGCAACATCCAAACATAAGGATTTATTTTAGTACTAACTTCTGAAAGCCTTGAAGGTTAATAGGGGAGACTAGGTGCACTTTACTCCAATTATTTTTGACAGTTCACAGATTACATTTAAAAACGGCCTTTAATTTACAACAGTCATCTGGTCCTCAGGTGTGAACTTTAAAAACGGCCGGAAACTGCAGACGTCCACCTGCCTGTAAAAGCCTCTTACACCCACCTGTAAATATCATCAGCTCTTATATTATTACACGATGGACCAATTAGTGGTGCAAAGTTTTATGGGAAGCTCTTTTTAGGTCTTTCAAAACTTCAGTGAGGCTTATGCAGGACAAAAACTTTGATGGCACTTTTCCCTGGAGCGGGCCCCCTTTTTCAATTATTGCTTCCTTCTGTGGCTTTGTATTGTACGTTATAATGAATACGGCCCGGAAAGGCTACATTCATAAATTGGGACACACACAAGGCCAAATAACTTAATCGAACAATGTCAGGAATTCATGTCAACATTTCAGTTGCCTCATATATTCAAATAGAACTTTCTTAAAACACACACTGTGGAATGTTCTGTCCATCCAAACTGTTACAAGAGTGAGGATCATTTTTGTTCTACTTTCATTTAATGCGCATCGAGTCAGAAACCAATGTAAGCATTCTGCAAACAGTAGGCCTACATTAAAAAGGCATTCATAAAAGGCACTCAGGAAACATTGCCTTTTCTCAAATTAGTGTCCTTTCTTCAACTATCGGTATACCCTCTTCAAATCCCCCAACCGCTCTCAGTGAAGCTCACAAATGAGGCAATTAAATTCAGGGTTTCAAACTCCTTTGAACTACACCTTCTGTCTGAGTCCTTTATTATTCCTACGTTGGTTCTCAAAGCTCATCAGGGCCATTAAGTACCTTGGGCTGCCTTTTTAAAAGAGACCACCAGCTCGCTCTTTTCTGTCATTCAGTTCCTGAGGGAAAGAGTAGGGAGAGACAGACGGAAAGGAATTTTTCAGCAAGTGAAATGCCTCCTGCCTGTGATTCTTCAGTCAGAGGGACATTTCCCATGTGTTTTCAAAAAAGGGATTAGTGCTTTGGACGGCGCTCGTTCCAATTCCCTGTTCTGTCCTATCCCATCTAATCTCTTCTCATGCCTATGTGTTTAGTAGGTTAGCCGTGGATCAAGCTGAATGAGATCCAATTAGCATCTGACACTGTACATGTGCTTCTTTCATGGAAGAATGTGTCCGTTCGGTTCAGGTGCTTTTTTTAAATTCCAAAACATTGATATTCCTTAAATACATTGAAGTCACTTTATGTGCAGTCTGATTAAAGGGCCAACGGAGACAGTTTATTCAACCAAGGAACAAATGATGGGCTAATGAATTGTGGGTATCAGGGAGCACGGAGGGAGATAAAAAAGTCCAGAGGACATTTGTAACCAGATAAAAGGATTTCACAGCGTCTACGCTGATCCAATTTATTGCTGCCCTGAGTAACACTAAGGTTATGTGGCATTTCATCATCTAATTAGCCGCAGACAGATTCTACCTATGTGCTAACAGATAGCATTTATTCACAAAGCATCGCTGATATCTTCACATTTGTGCACGTTTTCCTTTGATGATGTCATGACATGCCATTAAAAGTAAGACGCTTTCTGTGAAATACCCTTTGTATTTTCACACGTTCATAGTTAACCTGGAAGCACAAATTAAATATGCATGCAGATTTAAAAATATACCTTGATACTGATGTAGGTTGGCTTTGCACTTTCCTATAGAAGAAGACATCCAGGTAATTTATATTTCTTGGTTTTAGTGAATAGAAGACTTCCTTTGTGCAATCGGCGTGTTGACGTGTGATGGAGAGGGTTTGCAGTGAAATGGCTTAGCTGTGTCACTATGACTATAGCAAAGATTCTGTACAGAGGTTATAATGGTTGTGGAAAAAGTTGACCCTGGATCTAGCGTATTTCTGAATGACTGCTTTTTAAAGTCAGTCTGAAAAGAATGACGAGACTGCATTTTGAGCGCGATTGTTGGTCTGAAAGACTAGGATACAATGGTATGTGATTTAAATTATATGCGATCAGCATTTTATGTTCCACCGCCCGTCAACCCTTTGCAGTTTTCAAATTGAGTACCAGAACTGCTAACATTCAAAAATAATTTATTTCAGAAATGTACTGTGATCATATATTCATTCAGATTCTGCATGATAAGCGTTTGTTGCGTACAATGAAATCACCGCACAGAGAAGAAAAAAAAAAGTAGATGACATTTTTTTTACTATGAAAACTAGGAACACACCACTGAGTCTTCACTATAGCGTTACGAGTGCGCCTGGTGTGGCGCTACTCCAGGCAGGTTTACAGATGCTGCAGGACAATCTCTTTATAACCAGACACACAGTGAATGATCTGTAAAGCTTACGCACGAGAAGTGTAATCACACGCACACATGCACACGCATTAGCATTTGGGACAATACAGTCACACCTGAATAGTACAGCGTGGTTGATTACACAAAGGGGAAAGAGGTGAGGCAATCCGATGACATCATCTCTTGGTGCAGCCTCAGCTCTGCCCCGTGATTGTGAGCAGTGACAGAGAAGAGTTATACCAGCAGGGAAGGAAACGGGAAAAAAGGTAGTTGCTTATGAAAAATTCCCCTTTACATTTGAGCAGATCGAGCAACTGTGCCCAGCTGTGACTGTCTACTTTAGACAGTTTTAACCCCCTTCGTTTGGCTTTCGAAGCATTTCAGTAGACATATGCAGAATGAAACTTACGTGTGTATATTTGAGCCAGCAAAGGGTGAAAAAAAAAAATGGATTGTGAATGCAAATTAATTCACAGCCCACGTCTGTCACGATTAAAAGAAGGCTCCCGTAGCGCGAGGCCAGCCATTACGATGCCGCGGTCAAGAGCACCGCCAGCAGTCCAGTAGCAATTGGTGCCAGATATTATAAATAATGTTTCTCTATCAAGGCATCTTTGATCCACTGTAACACACTCACAAAAAGACTTAAACACTTCCACTTAAACAGATATACACTCATTTCATATATCTGCAGGATCCTTCAGGCATGGCACAGTCATTGACATTTGACCTGCCGTGTCCAGGTTGTCCGATTTTTCCAAGTGTTTGTGTGCTGTAGGCCAGAGAGCCATTTCCCATGGAATCCCATGATTGTTTCTCCAATGTCTCCTTAAAACTCTCCAAACCAACACATTAAAATGTGTTCGATTTGGCCTGAGTTCCACATCCACGTCTGTCTCTTATAACGTCCATTTTTTTCTTCTTTTTACATCAAGTTTATAACAATCCAAGCAAACAATTGTCCTTTCACGTCCACAATATGGCTCCATCACATATTGTTATTTCAGTCTCCATCAATGCACACTCCGCATTGACTTGATTTAGTCTTTTAGGTACATCTACTATATATATATACTGTATATATATATATATTTATGTGTGTGTTTTCAAAGATTCTTGTGACTTTGTACAGAATCAAATAGATTACCATGTGAATGTATTCAAAGAAAAGTAACAAACAAACGAGGAAATAAAGGCATGCTAATAGTTCAAATAGCAACATAAAAGTGAATAGATGATGCAGGGACTATTTTATCAGAGATACATCTAAATTGGCACACTTCCACACATTAAACAATAACATAAAAGTGTTGTTCCGCAAGTTTCCAGGCTGAGAAATAACACAGACAAAGCAATGAGAAGAACGAAAAGCCTAAAAAATACGTGATTGGGTGGACTGCGCGTTTCGGTGTACTCCTTCATAAGATGGGAAGATATTTCCAGAAAAGTCCTTTACTGCATATTTCACACAAAGGAAGAGAAGCCAGCGATTGGGGCCCGCGAGCCAGGGGCCAGGCTGCTGGGGGGCCTGTAGAGGGTGCTCTGCTGGCTGGGTGGGTTGGAGCTCTGCTGGGAGGGGGGTGGGAGTCCGGCTACCTTTGGGCCTGAACAGGCTGCCTTGGCCCTGGGGATGAACCTGGGGCGGGCCCTGGGGCTGGCCCTGAGGCTGGCCCTGAGGCTGGCCCTGAGGCTGGCCCTGAGGCTGGCCCTGAGGCTGGCCCTGGGCCTGTTGAGGCTGGGGGCTAGGGGAACTGAGCTGGGGGGGCAGTGGAGGTAGAGGAGGCAGTGGCGGGGGGGCGCAGTGGTCCGGGTCCCCCGACTCGGACTCGGTGTAGCTGTAGGCCTGAGCCCGGGAGATGCCTTTCTGTTGGCGGCGCCAGGAGTTGTAGTAGGTGGGGTCGCTGATGTAGTGGTTGACGAAGGAGTGGGTCTTCTGGCGGTTGGGGTCCACCTCGTACTCACTGTCGCTGCCCTGTGGGGGGGGGGGGGGGGGGGGGGGGGGGAGAGAATAAAGAGACAGTGATATATTGAGTTAAAGGGATCACTGCAGTGTTTCCATGTGGAGCAGTTAGAGAAGCAGAGGCTATACATGTAAATGGACATGAAGTTATTTAATTATTCATCCCTGTCTATACTACACACACACATGCACACACACACACACACACTCACATTCACAACACAGCACGAGAACACATGGACACCAAAAACGGTCAAAGCATGATTTACGGATGGATGACTTGTTACTGAAGCGTGCATTGTAAACGGACCATTGACACATAATGGCACAGGTCAATTTATCTTCAGGACTTAATCACTATGTTCAGCATCTAAGATCTCTGTATCCAGCAAGGCGGGTTTGATGTTGTGCAGCACATCTGAGGGAGAGGATTGGACGGGGACTAGCAATAGGAGCCAGTCCCTTATCAGGCTACAAACATTCAAAGCAGGCAGCCACAGGAACCTCACCAAATGCAGTGGAAGTGTATGTAGGCCACCTGTCCCATATGAAAACACCAGCGCCTCCTATGGGTGAACAAAACAATGGGTTTTACAGTACATCACCTTAACAAAATGATTAAAATGGCCCAGTCATGATGATGATAATATCATAGATATGTTGTACATATGTATATATATTTAGGTTCTTCGAGCCATTCTGGGTGAATGGTATGAACAGCTTTAAAAGAAAAAGCAACATGCATTCTCAAACATCAAAAATGTGATTTTAGCAGCTAATAGGGAGGGGAGTGGGATCTATCTTCATCATTCTTTAAATCAGTTTAAATTCCCTGTAAAACATCTGTAAAGGAATGACAATGACCTTCAGGACATTGTTGTCATTGACCCTCCACCTTCATGAGGGCTGGGCTAGAAACACCTTTGTATTCACGTCAAGTAACATCCCATGTGTCAAACTTAGAGCAATGTGATCGTTGAACACTTGGTGGGGATGGCTCTCGGTCAGCTAATTGCGCTAAATGCAAGCTGCCAATTGGATAGTAAGCCTGTGATTAATCACCTGACCACCAAGAACTAATGCAGAGTGCACTTTGCCAAAATTGCTACTGGATAATTTCCCAAAGACATGGCTTGTAGTATGAATTAGGTCTAAAGGAAAGCAAGGAAGGCTGTTCCTTTTCAGAACATGATGCGGGTAATTGTGACCGTCTTAGCTTCCTTTCAGCTCTCATACTATCGCTTTCAATCCTCCCATACAGAAACATGGCTGTTGGCACGCAGCAGAAGGATACACTCGGGAGCACAGCTCTCATGCTGGATATTGCACAGCACATATGTGATACATATGGCAGTAGGCTCAGATTTCTCTCAGCCTCAACATGTTGCACGTCCCCTATGCCAAACCCTATATAACACTTTTTCCTTTTGTAGAGTTTATACATGTCCAAACAGACGCTTGTTTTGGATATCCTGCTTTTTTGATCTTGTTGGTTCTAAACAAAGGGAATTGATCCCCTTTACTCCCATTCTTCTATAAACTAATCAAAGCAAAGTGTGGCTCTTATGATTATACTTTCTCTTTGTTTAGATTTTTGTATATTGTTGTTCCTCTCACTAAGGAGAGCAGGGGTATGCCAGCATCAGTGGCTTTCCGTGTGCGTGTTGTCCATTGGCAATATTGTTACCCAGTTGTAAACACTTGAGGCCAACCAGCATTGAAAAGCATTCAAGTCATGCCAGTGTTTAGCAACACAACAACACAATAACAAGATCCATCGCAGTGGTCCAACAGGACATGCCGATCCACTTCAAGTGATATTGCCTCACTGTGAAAGATCTAACGCTGCAATGAGAGATTCACCACTCTTGTTGTGAGTGTGTGGTCGTGATAATAAGTATAGACCAAGTGTTGACAGTGCATTGCGACCTTCTCCTGCCTGGCTGTGGTGTTCTGACCCTTGGAATGTTCTACATACAAAAACCGCTGCAATCTGTCCTTCTGTTGGTTCATCAGCAGTCTTCAATAGAAATAACTCAACGATCCAATTGGGGAATCGACAGTGGAGATGCTTAATAATTTGCCCGTGAAACAGCTCCCCACTCTGACTCATTACGAGCTAATTACCAGAGCTGAATGCTGTGAAAGAAGCAGACTTAAGGCATGCAATGCAGCGTTGCACCTCAGCCTCTAGGGAACCGCCGTCTCACTTTTGCACGGTGATGTGTAAGACAGACATAGCAGCCTGCCAAAGACAATTATTAAACATTTTCTCATCGTTACAATGTTAAATTAGGCAGCGAAAGAGATTAAGACATCTATCTAATTAACTGGTGAACCCTCTTGACAGTAGTTTATTTAACAGCAGCATAATAAAGTTGCCCTGTGTTCCTGATTGCGATTGTTATCATCGTAGGAGGGAGATCAATTTAGGGCAGAGGAAGAAATGGATGTGCTTTGTGCTAGAATCACTATGTAATGTAGATACATTGGTAATTATTGGCAAATATGGCAGGTGTTGAGATGACCTATCTCATGAACTTTGACCTATGACCTCAGTCTAGAGAGAGTTCAACTGAAAATGGAAAATGCAGTCGTATCAAGCTATTCTTGTCTTTAAATCTATATTTATGGCCAAAGCTGTTCCGCAAATGTTACACATTATTTTAAAAAGAACTTTTATAAGAAGTAAGAATGTACCTTCCTAATGTTTAAACAAGAGTATGAGACTGAAAGAACAATCTCAGGGCAAGCATGGCCCCCATCCCCCCACACACTAAATGAATGCATACCCCAATACCTCAGGGTGGGTCAGTCCTTTGTCCTCTAGTTATGGATTATTGCAATGAGGAGGGGGGGGGGGGGGGGGGGGGGGGGGGGGAGGGGGCTGTCTATGTCACTCTCATTGATGAAGTGAACACAGCAGGGGGCCCGGGAGACAAAGACAGTATATGTGGGGCTCGAGGGGGATTTAAAAATATCCGGAGACATTCACAGTACCTACATTTTTTTGAGTTTGCAGAAATGTCTGTGTAGAAAAAAAAGATTAGAGTGGAGGAAGAACAGGAATGGGAAAATGTGTTTTTGGCATACTGTGTAGCCTGCTGCATCAAAGTGAAGTTGTTTTCTGTCATCATCAAGGCATATAGAGTGCCAAACACCTCTCGCTGCTTATAATGTATGTGGCTTCAATCAGAACAACTATGATTAAAGGGATTTCAGATTTTGCTGGGCTTTAGCGATGTCACAGACTGGAGGATTTAAATGAGTACTGTAAGCATGTGCTTTTGTTCTGTTTTCTTTCCCTTTTTTTCCAGTTTATTTGTCACTTTTCCGTACGCTAAGGGAACACATTGGTTAGTTCTCACTTCAACTTTTGTCTCTTACCATCTTCTGTTACAGACACCTTAAAACTATTATAACATTGTTTATTGTGGTCATAATCTTCTTTTATTCTGGGTTGTGATATCATTCTTCAGACTGGGCCAGTCAAAACAAAGTGGTGCGTTGTCACTAGAGACAATCCAAACATTACTCAAAGTATTCTCAGTAGAGCTCCAACCAAAGAAGCTACAGTAGCCAGAGACAGGGAGTGGGAAGGTGGAGAAAGACAGAGTGAGATAGACAGAGGCACAGTGAGAAAAGCATGTAACAGAAAGCAGACATTTTCATTTGTCTCCCATGGAATGCCACTCTGCAGAGAGGGCATGATCTACAATCCGTGTGTGACTCAGAGATGAGATCATCCATCTTTGACCATTTTCAGCCTTTAATGACACAAAAAGGCAGGGCTGAATCAGAAAGCCTATACTTTGAATGGAAAAAGTCAATATGGAACTACCTGCAGGGGAGCGGATCAGTAATGGTGGCCTTGTTGCCTCGCCAAGTCTCTCCAAATCCCCTCTTGAGGAGGAGTACAATAGTCAACTTATACCTGCTGGCGGAGCCTCCGGGGATTAAAGAGGACAGACAGCGCAATGTCATTCTGATAGCTCAGAGTTATCCACTCAATAAAACTTCAAAGAGCATTCCTGGATTTTTTTTCAAAACACCATTGGGTGCTGATACGGTGGCCTGTCAGGGGCATGGCAGAGGTAACAGGAAGGGGGTCTGTGCGGTGTAGCCCATCAAAGCCAACGTCAGCACCTTGGACGTGTGGTGTGGCAGCAGGCGGGGGTCCCCACCTCAGACTGAGGGGGCGGGCACTGCATTAAGGCCATGTTTGACAATACACAAGTGCGAACGGTAGATATGTCAGACAGGTGATGAAATGATGAAATGATTAATACGAGGGGGATGTTATTGTGCTGCGAAAGGTCCTGTCTGTAACGATTCATTGTAGGGAGATTTTCATTTGATCTGGAAATGGGACTCAGGGCCCGATAAGGCCAGGTGGGGAGAGATTTCTGGCTGCGGAATTCACACTAGGGACGCATGTAGCCGAGAGATGTCCCGAGATAATTTGAGAAATGCCTGGAGTAGAAGAATTTGTAGATAAAAGAAAACACTGAAGGAGACCTTGAAAGCAAGGGAATTCAGGACCATTTACAGGACCCCCCCGACGCTTTCATCTGACAAGGATCAAAACCAGACTGCAAGATGGTTCCCCCCAAACCACAGGGAGGGAGCACATAGGCAAGAACTGAAAAAACATGTATGCATTTAAGACATAGGGGAACAAACAAACCAGATAAAATATGTGAGGATAAAAGAAAATCCTGAAATGGAAAAAATATTGAAGTCAGGATGTAGAAACATGAGGCTGGGTCAATGGAAAGACAGAAACAGACGGAGAGAGAAAGTCACAATGTATAGATTGATCTCACTTACTGGGCAAAAGCAGATTGGCAAATGCTGGAGTAGACATTTAGAAAAACATGTTCATCTATTGGTCCTGACAGTGTTCTTAAAGCATTTTAAATATTCATTCAAAACTATGATATTACTACTTATGACTCTAGGCTGGGTGGGCTCTGCTACAGAGGAAAGCCAATTCAGAGTTTTTCTCAGAGATTATTTATACTAAGTCTAGCTTGACTTAAAGAGAACTCGGTAGGAAAATAGTAGAGGCTGCCTTCCAATAACTAACTGTCTCTAAAATAAACTTTGCAGAGTGCATGTGCCCCCCCCCCCCGGCTTACATAACTCCTGCTGTGGCTGAGTGCAGTGGCCTGGATCGCAGGTGAATGTTCCCAGAGTGACATTCTCCACATGTCACTGCCTGGTCTAAAAACTGCTTTGCTTTGAGTCATTAATCTCTCATATCTCCTTGTGCATTACTGTAGCTATATCTTATGACCCGACTGCATTCAGGTGAGTGACAAGGAAAAGACACCATGTGGACAGTATGGACTGACACAGTACAGCCGACGATGCAAAGCTGAATTCAAGGAGATCGCTCGCACACACACACACACACACACACACACACAACACACACAACACACACACACACACACACACACACACACACACACACACACACACACACACACACACACACACACACACACACACACACACACACACACACACACACACACACACACACACACACACCACACACACACACACACACACACACACACACACACACACACACACACACACACACACACACACACACACACACACACACACACACACAACAGACACACGGTGAACATTTGACACAGAGAGACCATACAAGACATAGAAAAACATCAAGAGTTGCTACTGCACCTGTGAGTCTGAGATTTCGGAGGGCTTCTCAGTCAGGCTGCTGCTCTCTGCGGGGATCAGGTCGTTGTACTTTGTGCTGACGTCTTCGTCTGAGTAGTGTAAACTGCCTGGACTGGGCCTAGGAGGAGACCTGGGCAAAGAGACATACAGACATGAGGATAATTCAGATGATTGTTGTTTTAATGTAAGATAATGCAAGTGTTTGCCGTCATTCCAATGTGATAGGTCAAAAGTAACGAGTTGTAGACACACTTCCTTGTATTGCTTTGACTTACTGTATTTGTAATAATTGTTGGGCAAAGTTGAACTGCGCATTAAGGGATTCTTTCTGACACTTCTGATCAAATAAAGTTGGTTGGACATTTTTGCTAATGCTAAATCTTTGCTACTATTGCGCCATAATAACTTTACAGAGTTGTGAAATCCTGTCTCTTAGTATTTCCACAGCTGTGCAATGTTTTGGCAATTCATAAGCCTTCACATTCACAGATCTGTTACTCAAGCTGGACTTCCTGTATTGGATTTAACTGTCTCACCAGGACCTAAAGCTACCCCCCCCCACCTCTGTTGTATTGATGTTTAAATCTTAGTAGTTACTTGCAGTGTTGGGACTAACGCGTTACAAGTAACGCGTTACTGTAACGCCGTTATTTCTGGCAGTAACTAGTACTCTAACGCATTATTTTTTAACTTCAGTAACTCAGTTACCGTTACTACATGGTGCGTTACTCCGTTAGTTTTTTTTATATAGTCAACAGCCAGGCGAACAGAGATGAGAACTGTACTTAAGTACTTGAGTAAATGTACTTAGATACTTCCTGTGTCACATGCGGAGACGGGCTGTGGGCGTGTTTGTGTTGTTTACTAACAAGACTATCATGGCGGCGGCGGAGCTCGAGTCTAGTTTCTCCACCTGGAGATATTCTCACTATTTCACTTTTGTCGAGCACAAAGAAAAGAACGTTTTAGTTAAATGTAAGTTGTGTCTTGGCGGGTCAAAGATCCTATCTACTGCCCAAACCAGTAATTCAAATCTCTTAAAACATCTGCAAAAACAACATGCTGGGACGAAGCTAGTAGCTAAGACCACAGAGACTCAGCCGACGCCACTCCACCTCCACCTAAGCAACAGCGGCTGGATTTTAACCAAGGGACTGCTGGCCAGGGAAAAGTCGATAAAGCCATTGCACGGTATGTTGTAGAACACATGCAGGCTATTGCTACAGTGGAGTCACCCGCTTTCAGGGAGCTAGTTAGCATGATAGCATGTCCGGGCGGCACACGGCATATGGGACGGAAAACTTTTTCCAACTACCTGGAGAAAGAATATACAAAAATGGAAAGCCAGCTAATATCGATGCAATCCAGATTGCATATAAGGCATGTCAAGTTGATCAACAGATTGTATTATTCTCCAATGCAATAACAGTACTGAAATGAAGGCTATAAGGGCATTAATGGGAGACCTTTTTTCAAGTAACCAAAACGTTACTTTTCACAGTAACGCATTACTTTTGGGTGTGAGTAACTAGTAAAGTAACTGAGTTACTTTTGAAATGAAGTAACTAGTAATGGTAACTAGTTACTGGTTTTCAGTAACTAGCACAACACTGCTTACTTGTAATAATAATAATAAATGATATTTCTATAGCGCTTTTCTTGAACCCAAAGACGCTTTACATTTGGGAGGGAGGGTAGACAAACAAAACAAAACCAAAAAGAAACAAGGAAACAAAACAAAACAGAAAAGCAGTCAGGAGGAAGTTGGGTGAGAGGGGGGGGGGGGGGGGGTTACTTGTGTGTAAAATGCTACGATAACCAGAAAAACTGTTTTTCAAATAAGGCCAAAGTTGTTGAGTTTATAAAAAACTACTTGGCCTTCTTTATTGTATTCGGAAATCATATTGAAGCACTTTATGTTAATAAAGCCTCTTAGTGAGTCTAGTCAGCCCTGATTCATTGCAATGACACTTCAGAAGGCGCTTCCTCTCCAGTTCGCATGTATCACTGTCTGTCTGTGTGTAGGAGTGCAGCCTGATGAGAATCATGGGATACTCATGAGATGGCGCCCTGAAGCCTCTCTTCTGGATTTAATAATTCCCCCTCATTCAGTGCTCAATGTGGGCTGTGGAATGTCAAACCACTGGGCCCTTGTGACTAGAGTCTGAACTGAACTCTTGCAGTGCTAAAGGGCTCATCATACAACCAGCTGCATAAGGCTCTGCTCGGGAAAATGTTATTAGATCCTACTGTACATTGTGCGGATTAAAGGGCTACTGGCATACTGCGGAGGATCAAATATTTAGATGTATTTTTGAGAGATACGAGTATAAGGCGGAGAGGTGCTGAGCGAACATTAAAGCTGAGAGAAAGGAGGAATGAGAAAAATGAGACCAGAGAAAGATGAAAAACTGGAAAAACATTTCCTAAAATGGTATGCTCTAGCCAAGAGTTCTTTAAGTAAATACGAGAGGGGAAAAGAGCTTCTCCGTATTTTCCACTGTCGCCGGTGCTGCTAAACAAACACCCATCTGTTTCTGCTGATCGGTGCTGGTTTGGCAGAGACCACGGGGACACACTGACTCCTGTTGACTCTCCAGCCATAGTGTCGGCCGCCACTCGCTGCCAGTGGAGTGGAGCTGCTGCACACACAGCCGATTTACACGTCAAAACACATTAGCATTTCTCCAAATAAATACATCCTGAAAGCATTTCAAAAATGTTGTGGCTAAATTCCAGCTGTCTTCACGAGGGCTGGCGTTCCGCGTGCGGTGTGGATGAAATGTAACACTCCACTGGGAAATCACAAAGCAAACTGTAATTCAATTATGCTCAATGAGCTTAAACTAAAGTTGATTCACTTAACTTGAGTGGAGGAGTGAAACATGTACAGAGAGCTACGAGCTATGATGTTCTACATGTCATCTCATTTGTCTATGTTGGTTTGAAGATGTTCTACAGATTTTAAGTGTGTCAGTTTATGCAGACATATTACAACTTCGCTGGGGGATGTGGGATGTGTTTTACCTATCTTACTAGGCGTAATGAAAAAAAGGGCACAATATTGATTGAAAAGAATATGAGCTAGGTGCCCTATGTGAGATGGCTGGATGAAATGCATGCAGATGGTGTGTGTATTCGTATATGCAAGATTTTGTTGTTGCATGATATGCATCTATTTGTATCTCATGTCATTGCTTAGGTATGACAGTAAATGCTTAGTGGGCTTCACTGTATTAAGGACATCTTTTCTGTACTTAGTGCACTACTCTGCTTGTAATGTTCTCTTTGTTGTTGTTATTAGCACTTATATTCGTGAAACTGTTAGCAAATGATGCATTTAAGGGTTATAATTGCAGTAATTGTATCATTTATCAATAAAGGTAATGACACAATTTAATAGTTGTTGATTAATAACTCAAATTAAAACATTATTTTCAATACTTTGAAGTGAGTTTCTAAACTAACAGGTGGCTGGTATTAGCAAGATAAAAACGAATACTTTTTTTTCATTTGCGACTATGTAAAAATAATGGTTTAAAGTCAAATCCCTCAGGGCACATTCTTTCTAAGAAGCAGTCCAACTTCGAAAATGTTGCAACAAAGTTTGAATCACAGCTCGGAATTCCAATCTGCACTTATTCCTCAAGGACTCTTCAGTGTAACCTTTACCAACTCCCATTCCTCTGCAGTCCTTACAGCGAGACCCCCCCTCTCCCCCCTTTATAAAACACAGTCATACAAAGAGCTGGAGCCAGTGTGAAGAAATGCAATCGGGAGGCCAGCGAGACATTATGATAAACTGCCTGTTTAAAAACATTGAGAAAGCTCAGCCCACTCTCACCTCTTCTCCTTGACTCTCATACACTGGTAAGTGAGGCGTGAATTATGTATCAGCTCTCTCACTTGGATAGAGAAGGCTCCACTTAAACCTCTCGCAGCAAAATTCAGTCAGCAGTACGTCGGGTAAGAAACGAGGACCGGGGGGGGAAATCAAATCCGCCCCTGGTCTATACTCATTATCAGGCTCTCCTCTTGCTACAGTCGCCTGTAGGGACTCATTAACATGTCTGAAGTGTTCAAGAGCTTTGTCATTCAACAGCGTTTAAAACCATGTTAATCTACACTGAATTACTTCACCAAGACCTCCTCAAACCCCAAACCAGAGCGTCAAAGTAAGTTTCAAACTAATGAAAGAGAGTGATACAAAGCCATACGGGAATAATGGTGTTAATTCCATCCCTCTTTATCTTAAAGGCAGTAAAACATTGATCATCTGGGTGTTGAAGCTCAAATTGGAGACACATTTGGACTCCAGTGTCAGAGTTTATGTGCCGTCAGATTGCTAATGTCTTACATCAAGCGTGGGAGGACGTGATACTTTAGGGCCCGTGTATACATGGCACATTTTTCTGGCAGAAAGGAGCTGACGTTTCATCCAAAAAAAAATCCTTTTATTGTTTCAAGGACAAGGATATATCGATAAAGTATGACCGTCGTTATATGATAAGCTAGCATGGATTTAACCTGTTTGTGCTACAATACATACCGTATCTTTGACATTTTTTTTTTTTTACTAATCACCAACTGGAAGATTCTTGCTCTCACACTATGTACACGATGTTGTCATTTCCCTGTCTGACAGCCACAGAGCAAGGGATGAAGCAAAAACAAAAAACCCAAAAAACAAACACAAGCTTTTGTACAGTGACGTCTCGGTGCTTTTCTGAAAAGTTGAATATTTTCAAGTTGGAGCGGCCGCACAAAAAAGCTGGAGCACTTAGGAAAAAGGCGCTTGGCACTGCCCTTTTTCTGTAAAAGGCTGCTTCCACTCGTTCAAATCAATTTAAAATAGACAATGGCGCTCAGAGTAAGGCGCTATGTGGACATGGGCCCTAAATTGTTTATTGTTAACCAGAATCGACAATGTGCTGTGGAACAGATAATTCAAGTACTATTCTAAGTCTTCATTTTAACCTCTTTACAGTGATAACAATGCAGATTGACAATTCGAGTGGTGATAGATTAAGTTGTCAGTCACGCAAAGTGAACTGCATTGACTTCCCTGCGATTGTAATTGAATTGACTGTCATGCATATTGACCCTTTTGTAAGACTTTGGGGAAATGTTCTCCGTACAGAGAATCTTTCTGAACCTGAAACCAAACAGAAATGGCATTTGCTGTCTGACACAGCGCTGAATCACAATGAATGCTGGAGGATTAGGAATGTTTGATTTGTGATCCTGGTATCAGGTGGCGGACTTTATCCTGCCTTTGGTATTCTGAGACCGGAGATCAAGTCGTGGCATTAATCTATAATCAGGGGGGGGGGCTCAGGTGTGGGAATTGGGTTCCTTCGCTTAGGCTGAGTTCAAAGAGCGCCGAGTCTGAAAAGTACATCTGTGCATTCTTTCCTTCCCCCCTTCAAGCCCAGAGACATAATAGGAAGCTGCCTGGAAGCCCCTCAAAGACCTGGAGATGCTTTGATCTATCCTCAAGGCCACACTTGCATACACACCTTCAAAAACTACTTTCTCTCACATTCTCATACACAAAGCAATGTATGGACATGCAGGCTCATACAGAGGAGGCTAATTTGTTTCGGTGCAACATCAGAGTGCACCTGTCGCAAAACATCTAAATATCAGAATTCTAAAACACACACAATCTGCCACATACCTTTCAGCCGTCCTAAACTGTTACTGGTCTAATGCAAATGGTTCAAAATTGGACCTATGACAGTCCTTGCAGGTGTCAGTCAGAGTGATTGGCTTTAAACTATATCATGTTCTCAACATACTGCGTGTTACAGCTGGGATGCACTGAAATAGAGCAGCATCATTAAATCCTTGGTGAGTCTTTTTATATGAAACGTTGAAAAAGCTGCAGATGAGGATTTGTCAGGAGGAAGAGAGCTAAAAATGTATTCGGATATGATGTGAAGATTCTATGGCTAAGCCAATTATAACACCATATAATATATCTCATTATTGACCTGAAATGAAGCTTCTAGTTTAATTATAATCTGCACTTTAAAGCTGCTTAAATCTCTCACCTGGTGTAGACGCCGTTCTTCCGGCAGAAAGAGTTCTTCACAGACAGCCTTCGGTTGTTGAGTTCCAGAGCGGGGAAACGGCCTTCGTCCAGACTGACCATGTCTCCGTGGGTCAGAGCGTTACAGTTGGAGTTGTTTCCTGGACACACGTACAGAGACACTGTGTGACCACAGGCCAGATGGACATGCAGGTTAGTGCCCGGGAGGATGGAGGGGGCTGATCAATGACTTGTGGGTAAGTGATAGAACAACATTAGGAGTTAGGAAGGATGGAACATAGACGGATGATTAAATGTAACTGTTGCTAAATGGGAATATGGACCAACTAAAGGAAAGTAATGAGTGAGTAAATCATAGAGATGTTTGAAGTCTTTGAGGGAAGTTGTCATGAGGAAATGATATGTCATGTCTTTCAGGTCTTAAAATGTGGACCATTAAAAACATTTTCCTTCCAGAGCTGTATATATCATAACTGTAAAGCTGACAAATCATAGGTTCAAAAAAGGTGTGTCTTTAGAACAACAACAACATTATTGTTCGAGGACATGGTAAACGCAAACGCTTTGACTTTATTTGTTTTCAAGTTTAAAGAGATTCAACTATAGAACTAATATTTGTGATTTAAAGCAATAGTTCATCACTTTGGGAAATATGCTTATTCTATTTTTCGGTGAGAGTTACACAAGAAAAATGAATAATACACAAGGTGTAGCTGGAGCTTAGCATTCAGAGTGAACACAGGGGAAAGCTAGCCTGGGGTGGTAATTAGTGAGTTTAAGAGATGCTGGTTTACAGATTTAGTTACTTTCAAACGGAGCAAGGCTAGCTGCTTTCCCCCGTTTCCAGTCTCTGTTCAATAAGCTAACAGGCCGCTAGCAGTAGCCTTTTATTCAACGAGTGTGGTGTTAACTTCTTATCGAACCCTTAGAATTTCTCAAAATGTGGATTTACTCCTTTCAGTCTGATTTTTACCAATGTTACACCTATATTACATTGTTATGAGACCCATATTACACCCATGTAACACCTATAGAACATCATAGTAACAGTTATTACACCCCTTTTTATATCCATAGTACATATGAATACACACCTATTAAACCCATGTTACAACATTAATACACCCGTTTTACGTCCATATCATACCCATGTTACACTATATTACATATTACTGTTATTAGACCCACATTGCACCTATGAACCACAAATGTTACACCCATATTCAACCGTAATTACATTATTATTAACACATAAGGTTTAAGTATTATATATACTTTTAGTTTTCGTAATGGCACGCATTGACAAACAAGGTCACTTTATGGTGAGGTCAATAATACAACAATGTGACACAAAACAATAGGTTATTAGTCTAAAGTAATTGATTATTTTTTAATATACCACCGGTGGAAACTATACAGGTTATACAGTATAGTCCACACAAATTGAGGAATGTTTTTAAAGAGTCAATAAAAAATAGAATAGGTCAGGAATACAAATGACATTTGTAAATGCAAACACAGAGGAAGACATGTACAAACTCAGAATATGATAAATGAGTGAGCCTCTGTGTAAACACTGTCTGTGGATCACACATGAATAGGCAATAACGCAACGTTTTTGCAACGACTCCCTGGTGTCTCTCGCGATTAATCAAAGCGCCAACTGTAAAGGCTGAGAGTGACAGACTTGCCATGCTGTGCAGTAGATTAATGTTTGGAGGCACTGTTGTTGGCCATGCTACAGGTTTAAAAACACTTTCAGTCATCCTCAGACTTATGAGGGACCGCAGCGAGGCCAGGACCTCCGCGGTAGCTCCAGGGCTACTCGAGGTCAATTGATGGTCACACAAACACGGAGAAAAATAAAAACTCTTGCAGGAATCTGGCCCCGGCCACTGTAGGTCCAGTGGCCGGGGCCAGATTCCTGCAGGGGAATATGGAGGCTTTGAGAGCGTCTTTGTTAGAGTGAGAAGGAACCTCTTGTTTTCCCTCTGTCAGTCAGAAAGATGGGCAGTGACCCGCAGGGACCCCCTCCCCTCCCATGCCTGGCAGCTAAACAGCTATGGCAGAAGTGCTGAGCCGAGGGAAAAACCCGCTGATGTCAGAGCTTCACTGAATGGACCTCTTCTCTCGTTCTTTTATTCTCCCTCTACTCTGTCAATTATCTAAATCATCCAAAAAAAAGTTAACTAAGTTTGATGCTCAATTTTTGAAAACGGCAAATCATTAAATCCCCTTATTAAGTGAGAATCTTTAATAAGACCATTTTTCATATTCAGATTCCTGGCCCCTCTTACAGTTTCTAAGTCTAGCTAGAAACTCTGGAAGTATTTGTGTGCACTCACCTGATTCTGACTTCTTGGCGTACTTCTTGCTCTGGCCTCTGATAATGAGGATGAAGACCAGCAGCAGGATGAAGATGAGCCCCACCAAAGCCACCACGACCAGAAACCACCACTCCTCGTAGAAAGGCGCCACTTTTTGGGCTGGACGAAACACATACATTGGAATTCATGCTTGTTAAAAATAAAGTGGCCTTATTTCTGTGATGCCTGAATGACCTCAGGGAATTCAATTAATAGGTCTGAAAATGTATGTTTCTCCAATTTATGAAGAAACGTAGGAAAGCTCACCAGATATCGAAGGAGAAGGTAGACTGGGGGAGCCGTACCCGTAGTCGTTCACTCCAATGACCCTGAAGTCGTAACTGACCCCTTGCTTCAGGATATCCATGTTGAATGTGTGTGATGTCACCTCCTTGGGGATGTCCTTGATTAGGATATCCCACAATCCCTCATCTGTAATGGAGATTACGTTTTAATTTTGTGTGACGAGAAAATTAAACAGGTAAAACATTTAAACAGTGGCAATATGTCTTTGTTAACAGGTTGTTTGTTTTGATACAAGGCTCCGGCCTGGCTGGCTGACAGCTCCCCGGGTAATCCATAATTCCAACAAATGTTACACAATCCATCAATTTCACTGCACCTGTTAAATTTACAGCAACCAAATCCACATCATAAATAGTGTCGCAGCCATATTTCACACGAAGAAGGTTGTTTGCTTTGGAAATCTTGCCAGAGGCCCTTTATTACACATCGCTGCTTGTCAACATCTCTTTTAGTGAGGTACACAAACATAAACTAGCACGGGAGATCATTTGTCATTGGTCGCTTAACTTTTGCAAAAGTAAGAAAACGGGTCATTTGATTTGAAGATAAAAACAAGTCATCCAGTTATATGATACTGCAGAGAGTTATGGCCCTTGGCATATGGACACAAGAAGACGAGGGGGGAGGGCGTTGTGAGAGGTTGGTTTGCCATCTTCCTACCCTTTATTATAATTATGACGTTTTTATTGCTATTATATTTTGTATTTTGTTGTACCTATACGTTCACTTTATTTTATAGTGTTTCATATTGTTGCATCGTTTCACTTGTCATGGGTCTTATCTTTCCGAGAGAAATCATTATTTATTTAATTTTATTTGTATTATCATACCTTTTACCTCCTTGTGTCTCTTAACCTGTTCAAATGTTATATTGTGCTGCATGTATTTGTAAAGGTCTTAACATCTGATCTGAGGGGAATGTCTTGTTGTTTATTTTTTATTTGTAATGTGTGCCAGGCATTTTGTAAAGCACTTGGAGCTGCATGTGCTGTATGAAAAGTGCTATATAAATAAAGCTTTATTATTATAATAACCCTTCTTAATGCTACACTAAGTACCCCCTTCTATTTTCACTCAAAAGTGGTGAAACACATCCCCATCAGTGAGTCACCTACCATCTAGGGGTGTTGAAAATAATCGTTTCTACGATGCATTGCGATGCGGACGTGGACGATTCGGTCTCGATGCAGTGACGGAAGATAATCGGTTATAGCGTAGTAACGTTGCTTCCTGATTTTCCGGCCGCGGCTTTACTATAACGTTTTTTTTTTGTCACTTTAATATCAAATCGGTCGGTGACGCAGAGATCAGGGAACAGACGTGACAGCGGCACAGCAACACCAAACACGGAGCAGTCTGCTTTATCCACCAACACAAGAACACCAGTCCAGAACCAACAGCAGAAGGACCCGCTCTGAATCACTCCGTGTCGCTGCGGCACAGGGATTTATGTTTATCAAAAATAATCGCGTTACAATCATGTCAGGTTTTTGGTGGATTTAATTAAGTATGAATGTCCTCTAGCAATTTTCAGACGATATATACACGTGTGTAAAGTTTGTGAAGGCAGGAGGAAAAAAGCTCCCGCGATCACCGTCTCCTCTCCGTTCCTCTAAGCCCAGCCCCCCCCCTGAAAATAATGAGTGACAGGCTGATAGAAACTTTATTATTCACTTAATCACTGAGATATAATGAAGCTAACTTACTCTCATACATTCATGGGATTTATGTAACAGTAAGACAGAGAATGTAAGTGTGCACCCACATGCAGTATTTTTGTTTGTATGCTATTGTAAATACTCCTGTCTGCTGTGTTCAGACTCAAGTCCTGTGTGTGATGCCCTTATATACACAGTCTATGGTGATGCCACATTCAGGACATTCAGTGTCTTTTTTTAACAGAAGACCGTTGCTAGAAGCTGCAGCTAGACTGCAGAAGCATTATAATTTTGTTTTTGAGGATGGAACAACTTCACACACAGATATAGGGAGGCTAGACCTACAATTCATTTATTTTGGTTTATAAATGAATGTCAAGACATTTATGTTATTGATTTCTGAAGCACTTTCTAAATAATAAAAAGAGAGTTCATATGTATTTACTGCATGTATGCATTGATGAAAAATAAGCCATGTGCAGTAATATAGAAAATTGAGGATGCAACGCATTGGTATGAATCGTGATGCATCGGGATATCGAATTGAATCGAATCGTTGACAGGATAATCGTAATCGAATCGTGAGACCAGTGAAGATGCACAGCCCTACTACCATCCATCACCTCCCTAACCCTGTCCGTGCCTGTCAATCAAAACTGAAACCTGATGCCAATTGTTTCAACTGCAGCGCCAGGATCAATAACCCATTAAAACACCAGGGAGACCCTCAGGGGCCGCAGGTGTTGACACTTAACACCACTTTCCTTATTTAAAGTATCAAGGAGGCTAGCATAGGGAAAGGTTTACTGATGCATGACTAAAGTGCTGATGGTCTGTGTCCTCAGGCGGCTGCAGCACACACCTGAAGGTCTGGCCTCGATCACGTAGCGACTGATGGGAGCACGTCCCGGGTCCCCGCTGGTCCAGTGGATAGTCAGGGCCGAACCGTAGCGAGTGATGAAGGGTTCTCCTGGGGGTCCCGGGGCTCCTGGGAAGGAATAAGAAGGACTTTCAAATGAAGAATTAAAAAATAAAGATCTATTACACGACAATTTGATCCAAGGAGCTTGTTTTGACCCTCAAGCTTACTTTCAAATTATTTCAATGGTGGGACAATTTGGTTATGTAGCATAGGATCATACCATTTTAGATAAATGGGGGTGCTAGATTACTGATTTTTTTTTTACTGTATCTTATTATAATACCGTTACTATAAATATAAAAAAAATCACATGCTTTTTTAAAAACTCCTTAGTGTCCATAAGTAAGTCAACATTTCATTTCACTTTCCAAAATGGCAAAAAGATTAAACAGAGAGGTATCTATCTACAAAAGAAAATATACAAAGAAATACACCAACAGGCGATTGGATGATAAGTCAACCAAACAAGACTTGACAAATCAGATGTAAATCCTTAATCCCGGAACAATTTTCATAATCAGATCGGCCTGTACCTTCCCCGGGGCCGGTGGTGATGTTGGCCTCCACCTCAGGCCCGTAGATGAAAGTCTTGGCTCTGATGCGGAAGTTGTAGGTGATGCCGTCGGCCAGGTCTCTGAGCTTCAACCAGAGGGGGCCGGTCCCCTTCACATCCACTGTCACTGTCTTACTGACGCCTGGGGGGGAGGGGGAGTGGAGACAGTCGACACAGGCCACTGAGGACTCTAGACAAACAAACCACATTTAGAGCAGGTCTTACACAAGCCAAGCAGGGAGGGAGCTCACAGGTAAACACACAAGCAGACATGACATTAGTAGGGGGAATAATTATATTGATATTATTATATAATCACATTTAGTTAGGTTGTGATGATAACAGAAGATAAAAGGTTGCAAGCTGTTAGGGTCAATGTTGATTAGCTTAAAGCTCAAGTAAAATGCACACTACAAGACTTTTGAACAGGTTAAAGTAAATTGATCTCAACAAAATCTGCATATTTATTAGATCTTGTCATGTGCATAAAGCTTTTGATGGAAATCAGCAGCCATTTAGAGCAGGGAAAAGTGGGAGAACGAGAGCTCACCATCTACCGGTGTGCAGGGTTCGTAGACCAGACGGTAGCCCTCGATGATGCCATTAGGGAAGGTGGGCTCGCCCCAGGATACGTTGACGGAGGTGGTGGTCAGCTCACTGAAGTGGATGAAGCTGGGGGCACTGGGAGCTGGAACATTCAGAGACCAGAGGTTAAACGATGCATGGGAAGTAGTCAATAAACAATTTTTGGAGCTCTTCCAGGGACGTATCTGTGGACATATGGCTGTAGAAATGGGTGTGTTTCAGAGAAAACTCAATACGAAGCCCATACAACTCAAATGTAACCATATGACAAAGGGTCATGGCTCCCATACGATCGCTAAAAAATATTATCTGACAGGACTATGAATTCACAATGACAATTTTCAGCCTCCAGGCGCCCTCACAGCTGACTGAGCCCGTGACACCACTGTGCTCCAAACACTGTTTGCCCTGTTGTCTTTAAACTTGTCGAGCAGAAGTTGAGACGCTTGCAGTTATACAAAGCCCCTTTGTATTTGAGAAAGATGGGATCACGATATCCACAGCGCTCCTCCTTCCTCCCCCTTCCAGCTTATCATCCGTTTCCTCCTCTCACCACAATGGCTCACGAGGGAAACCAAGATGCTGTGAACAAGCTCTTTTTCTTTCTTTAAATGCACCACAAATTTGAAGAATTGCTTTTTTATACAGCGATTTAAGAAATATAGAGAGAGAGAGATACAGAAAGAAAGATATCAAATAAAGATAGATGGTAATGGGCAATTTCTGTGGTGCTTGTAGAGAGAAAGCATGCTCAGAGAATTTCCATACTTTTCAGACAAATATGAGATTCAGCAAAAGAGTTCCGAGTGGGTTTGCTGATTAGAAACGTATGCTCTGTGTGTGGTTCTGCTAACATAGTTTGGCATGCTGACAGCAACAATTAGCATCATGTTCGCATCAAATACTTTCCTCTCGGTTGACTCATCCGATTTGAGAAAACACTCTGCGTTCTCCACACCGGCATCAGCAGCACATAAATATGACAAATGACTGAACATCACTGTACGTGCTCGAATTCATCTGCTTTAGTCATGCCATGCCGTTACCTCGTTTGTCTTCTTTTGCTCAGTAACTCTCCATCAGGTGTTCATTCATTAAACGCAGAGAAGTATTTGTTTTACTGGATTGCTTGATTACCGCTGTTCCCGACTCTTGCACTTATTCATAGTGAATTTGCATATTTATTACCTCCGCCAAAGAGGTTATGTTTTCAGGTTGGTTTGTTTGACCTGTTTGTCAGCAGGATTCAGAGATGGAGTACTCGAGTGCCGATTTTCGGGACTCGTGACTCGACTCGGACTCGCGCACTGATTGACGCGACTCGGACTCGTGAATTCTTGCGCAGGATGACTTGGACTCGGACTCGTGAATTATCGCGTACGCTGACTTGGACTCTGGCTTTTTTTCCCCCACGATGACTCGGACTCGACTTGTACATTGACGCTCCGACTTGGACTCGAGCAAATTTTCTCTGGAGTCTGATGTCCTCTATCCTGGCGTGTGCACCTGTGAGGCGAGTTCACGTACTGGGCCCCGCTATTCCAGTCTAAAGATGTCTAGAGACACACCCCGCATCGTGCTGTATGCTTTCACACATTCTGCTTCCACATTGGAAAAGAGCAGCGCAAAATGCTCGTTATGTGAAAACAATATTGAAGAGAAGGCTCCGTAACACATTACTCTAAGGATCGAGTTCAGACATACAGGCTGTCTTGAACACTATCATCAGAGTAACGTGATAAAAGTTCCTTCAAAATAAGAGTCCCGATCTTATTACTATCAAAATAAAAGTGCAAAACGAAAATTTTACCATAGGAAAATATTGGCATCATTTTAAATATAGTTTATTTATATATAATAATAATAATATTAATATTAGTAATACGCTTTATATTTGTATAGCACCTATTACAAGAGTTGTAGCCAAACTCGCTTCACAGCAGTTCAATAGACAGATTAGTATAACATGACAGGATAAAAGCAATGTAGAGGAGCAGCTACATGTCAACACATATATCCACGAAGATTAATACATGAAGACTTGTGACTCGGACTCTTCTTAGGTGACTCGGACTTGGACTCGAACACAGGTAATGATTACTCAAACTCGACTCGGACACTCCTTGGGTGACTCGGACTCGACTACGACTCTCCCTTGGTGACTCGGACTTGGACTCGAAGAGTGGTGACTCGAGAGTGACTTGGACTCGTGAATTGGTGACTTGACTACAACACTGACAGGATTACAGAACATCTACCAGCCAGATATTTATAACACTTGGGAAGGAGTGTAGCATAGGCCGGTGAACAACATATTTAATGCTATAGCGCAGGGGTGTCCAAACTACGGCCCGGGGACCAAATGAGGCCCGTGGTCCATTTTGAATTGGCCCGCAAATTCTAAAAGTATAATGGAATATGGCCCACACATGAAACTTGTGCTTGTCTTATATTGTACATCTTAAACATATCGAAAAATATATTACATGTGTTAATAAGCCACATTTTCAAATAAACTCAGTAAATTAAAGTTGAAAATATTTTTTACAATAAAAAAAAAAAGCGCAATAACTTATTTGCATAACAAGCTTGAGATATAGACTTCCTATTTCCCCTTATTTCAAGCAATCAGAGGTTTCTGTGTTAATGAATGAGCTGAAAACTAAATAAATGAAACACTAAATGAAAGCTGGGATGTATGCTGTGTTTTTTTGCTTAAAGCATATTAAACAAGCATATTTACATACATTTTATTGATTTTGCTAACTTATAACTTACGAGGCAATATACCTCACCTCTAGTGAGTGGCCCAGCCCTTCGTATGTTTTTCTGTATGTGGCCCTCAGTGAAAAAAGATTGGACACCCCTGCTATAGCGGATTCGAAAAATGTAAAACAGCCATGGTGGTGGTCTGCCTTTTATTCGGTTTCTAGTGGTTTAATGTACCTGCTTGCTGGGTGCGGGCCCTCGTGGGTGCGCTGCGGGGTCCGTCCCCAGCTGCGTTGAAAGGGGCCACACTGATCATATAGGTGGTGTAACCGGTCAGGTTCTTCAGCTTCACTCCCCCCTCCGGCATGAACAGAGTCCGCAGCCGCTCCGTATCGTTCTTGCGCTGGAACTCCCAAAAGTAAACCTACGTGGAATAGGATTCATGAATGAATATTAATGCAAGTCTACAGACGCTGTTCAGGGAATTCAGCTTCTATAAACCTCCCTCCCATTTCAATCTCCCTTAAGGGAAAGCGTTTTTTATTTGATTCACTGTAAATGTTTTGTTGAACAATTTCATTGAAAGCCCCTCTGGAAAACAGTGCTACCTAAAGTGTAGAAATGTGCATTTAATGGTGATTCACATGAAATAGATGCGGTCTCTTGAGCACTACAAATAAACATTTGAATCTTTATATAAAGATAAAAACTGGGAAGTAGGACTATAAAATGTGTTGCTCCAGGGCCTATTTTGGCACCTGGCAGCGTTTTCAGAAGATGTTAAATAAAAAAAGTGTGACTCCGACCTTGTAGCCCTGGATGTCTCCGTTCTGTGCGTCCACGGGGGGAGGGTCCCACGTCACGTCCAGCTGGGTGGCGGTTGCGGACTGAATGGCCACACTCTGGGGCGGCGCTGTAGGCACTGTTGAAGGCCATCACACACATTATTATACCAGACAAGGACATTTCCTGCATACAAGGGATTGTTTTATTCGTGCTATACTCAGTGTATTGACAAGCAGCATAACAGCCAAACTGACTAAACCTAAGAAGAAGAACCCGGGATTTACAAAGACAAATGACTCCTCTTAGCGTGCTTCTTTAGATCACTTCAGAATCAGAATCAAGTTTATTTCCAAGTACGTTTACACATACAATATATTTGCTTTGGTATCTGGTGGTGCGAACATAAACAATAATTAAAAAAAAGAAGTTGCAAAGCAGGTAGAAAAAAAGAAATATATAAGGATAATACAAAAATAAGTATTTTTAAGAAACAATTTAGCATTAAAAAAGGATACTAAAGACAAGTATTTACAATACATTTAAATGTAACTATACAAATCACCTTAAAAGCATAAAAAAACACTTTAAGTATATGGCAAACTACAGTGTATTATATTTTAAAGTGGAGGGCTGTGCAGACATGTGCAAAAAGCAGTCGGAGAGTTGAGCATGAACACATTATTAAGAAAGACAAAAAAGAACAAGATGTTGTTCACATGGTGTGCATTAATGTAATGCATAAAGTTTTTGGGGTGGATAAGAAGCACATAGGTTGTGTGAGTGACGGCTGTATAGAAAAGTCTAATCCACTTGCATTGCGGGTGGTCAAATGACTTTGTGCAGGAGCCTGTGTTGATTGAAATGACAAGAAGCGTACATACCTGCCTCCCCCACAAACACCTCCTGTGGCGTGCTGGTCGGCCCCTCGCCCACAGCGTTGTAAACACTCATGCGTATCTCGTAGCGCTTGTGTTTACTCAGCTCTGCAGTGGAAGTAAACAACAAGGGATTAAAAGTTAGGAATTTATTTAACACGAATCACCTTTTGGAAAAACTATTTTGAACACGTAGATATAAGGAACAGCAGGCATATATTTCACAGGAATTGTATCTTGTATAATTACATGTGATAAATACGTTGATTGTCGAATCCCTATTTGCTCCTTATTTTGGAAACCCAATATTCCTTCAGCTCATCCAAAATCCCTCAACCTGCCACAACAAATCTGGTTGGGTCAGTAGTGCAATACTAAGGCTGTAATCCCTCAGCAGTGTCCCACTTGTTCTCATAACACCGCTACTGAGAATGGTAAAACACTGATTTTCTGCCGCAAATAAATAATTACAAGGGTGCAGGAGCAGTCTGTGGCCATCTGCTTTTGTTGTGCTTCTCTGTGTTGGGACTACACGAGCGTGTGTACTCAGTGTCCAAGGATTTCTGTAGACAGAGAGCTTCCGTTTGCTTTAGAGAAGTGTTTGTACCAGTTTGGTGTAAATATAAGCAGCCAAATGTTGTGTTAAATTGCTCGAAACTTCAAACATATGTTGATATTGTTTTTCTTTGTAACCTAATTACTTTGGGGATTGAATCATTGTTAAAGAGGTCATATTATGAGCCCTTTCAGATTCATATTTGAGTTTTGTTGAGTAGTTGGACATGTTCACACGCTTTAATGTTCAAAAGGTGCTTTGTTTTAGCCTTTGCATGCACACAAACCTGTAGAACACAAACAGGAAAGTGAAAAACCACAAAAAGCTAAATAGGGCCTCTTCAGGACATGTGTTTTTTTGAAGACAGAGCCATAACATCACTTACTGTCCAACTGATGCTGGGTCTGAGTTGAATCACTCAGGTTCTGGATGCTGTAGGGTGCTGCGGTGGAGAGGCAAGAAGGAAAAGTGATAAAAAAAGACGGGTTAAATAAGGGGGAGGAAGTGGAGAGACAATGGGCTTAGTGTCTGATATTCCCCTTGTTAAGAAGCGCTTCACTTTGATCATAAATAAACCCACAATCACAGTGAACATACCTCCGAGTCAGCCCAGGATTGACTCAAAGGTAAATGATAGGGTAAGTTACACGGAGCAGGAGTAACAGTGCCTGAGTAAACCTAATAATAGCCTGCAACTGATAGCTGCTGATCACAAGATGAAATGTTTTGCTGTGAGGTGTCAGCGGGGATATCTTGGGAAAGTTTTCCTCTGATGGAAATAAATGGTGCTGCTGACACGTGAAGAGAAAAATGACCCGTGAAGGAAACTCATAATGGTGTGTCGTTGTTACTGATGTGAAGGTGGGAAAATAACACTTTTTGTCACAGTGGTGAATAGTTTCTTGATGTGCAGTTTTTGTCCTTGATTTATTTCTTTAAATTCACAATGTCGCTTTATGAGTATAATAAATGCAACATACCGGCAGTTCTCAATGAAAACGTTTTTGTGTAATGATCCAACAGTGTAGGTGGTAACAAACTGCTGTTATTCATGTTTGCTGCAGTAATTCCTCACCGGTGAGATCGCCCCAGGTGGACAAACTGCTGATGGTGTGAGCAGAGTAACTGCGCAGACGGTCATAAAGCAGCTCACGATATCGAATCCGAAAGCCCAGTAAGATTCCGTTTATCTTCTCCTCAGAGGGGGGCTGGAAATGAAAAGATTGGGGATTTTAAGTCTAACGTAGCAGAACTAAGCCGAACAAATATCTGAGAATATTGCACATGGCATACTTTTTCAGCTTCGATGTGGTCATATAAATAGCTAATTTCACTTTAATAGACATTTTACTTTTGTGTTGTTTCACTGTAATATTCCACTTCTTCATCATGTAATTTGTCTCTTGACTGGCATGCATTAATTGAGGCTTATAAAAGAAAATCTCGTCTCAGAGTGATCTCATCCAAAAGTGAGTCACACAGAGAGAAATCCCCGATGGTTGAACATGAGAGAGCGGAGCCGGAGGGCAAAAGCAAAACAAGAACCCTTCTATCCTTATAAACTCTACAAGTGTTCTCCATAAACATCAAATTGGTGCTTGCAGCCTCCTGTTTTCCTCTTTATGAGCTGTTAATTCAGGTGTGAGTGTTGGAGAGGGTGTTTTTAGTTAGACACACACAGAGTACATGGTGTGTGAAGCATCAGGCCCGTAAGTATAGGCCTACTTTGTGTACTGCCATGGTATCTCTTTAGAGGCCACTTTCTTAGGCTTTTTATGGATTTTGCAAACAATGGAAAAAAAAAAAAAATAAATAAATCTGCCTCTTCTTACCCGCCAGCGGATCAGCACGGACGTCGTTGTGTGCGGTGTCACAGAGAGAATGGAGGGTGCTTCGTCAGGCGCTGAGGCAACAAAGTGAGATAAATGGGCTAAATTGACCTGCAAATGTTCACAATTCAAGATGCTAAATGTATCCATGTGCAGTGGCATTCATGGAGCATAAACACAACAGCTAGAACAGAACAGGCATTAACAGATGGGTCGAAAAACAGGCGTTTGGAAAGAGGATATTTCTTTAGTTGGTTTAGTGGGCAAACGTTTGACGCTGTGCACGTCTCATGGTAACTGCAGATGGTGCACACATGTCATCACCTGCTGGGTTTGGCAGTGGTGTCTGAATCACAACAATAGGCTGATTCATGGAGACATTAGACTCCGTTCACACATACATAAGAGTGAAATGGTAATATTGTGCCTATAAATACCTCAATACAGTTCATGTGCGAACATTAAAGGTGAAATAGTTCCATATTTCACAGTACAGAAACGTAATCTTTTTTAAAACAGCGTTTGATATTATGTGTTATTATTGTTTTTTCGGCAAAGTCTTGTCAATACTGTTAGGTTGCCAGGTAACCATTGAGGAGTGAATGCACATGCCATGGAATAGTTGCAGAAACGCCCAAAAGAACCACAACATGTTGTTTTTACACTTGAATAGATTCAAAACAGGAGACATATTCGAGCTTAGAGGTGGGTTTTATAACCTTACTTCCAGTCTTTATGCAATGCTTAGCTAATTGGCAGCTAGCTGTGGCCTACTGTTTAACAAACAGACATGAGAGTGCTGCCAAAGCTTTAGATCTAACTCTTGGAAAAAAGGAGTGGTGAGTGTGGATTTCAAACTAGTCAAGGTAAACGTTGAGCCTGGGGCATGTGTAAAAGCGATGCTAGTTACCAGGCATATTGGAAGAAAATGTCATTTTCTTTTAATGTTAGAGTTCTACTTAAAATCCTGTGGAGCAACCATAAGCAAAGAAAGTTAGTCTTATTAGCTTGATTGAGTAGCAGCGAAAGGTGGGGCTTAGCAAAGGCTTAATTCACTCATCAGATATTAAAGTTGATGTCACTCTTACCGTCCTGTAGTGTCGTGATTGCTTCACTTTCCTCGCTGTACTCACTGTCCCCTATGTCATTGGTGGCTTTTACTCTGAACTGGTAGGATGTGAAGGGCTTCAGCCTTAGGGATGGAAGCACAGGAAAGCCCATCAATCTTGATGATAAACTACGACACTGGATCTTTAACCTTTCAGCTACAGATATCAAAAAGACAAATGTAGTCTCACTGTGGGAGCTAAAAGCTTTTCAAGCTAACTAGGAAGAAAGTCAGCCAAACTGAGAGACCTCTCTGCTGAATGCTGCATTTTCTAAATTCCTAATGTCCTAAACTTGTTTGGCTAGTTCATACCATTGTTTATGTTCCTAATCAGACTCTAATACCCTGGAAACATTATTCCGTATAAGCATATTGTTGAAATGCCAAGTATAGTGCAGCTGAGGGAATATTTAAGTGAGTGTAGCAGTAGGGACTAGACTTATACTCTACATCTAAAGAGAACAAATATAAAAACATGTCTTGTAATAAAGAGGATTAGATGTTGTAAATAAAACTCCAGAAAGCTAAAATAACTCTCTACCTTGATACTATGTAGGAGGAGGCCTCATGGTTGACGGAGGCAGAGTGGACGGTCCAGTTGCTCTCAGGAAGCTCTCTTTGCTGCACGGTGTAGTAACGCACAGGGGACAGGCCGTCGCTGCCCGGCTCCCAGGACAGGAGGACATGACGGGCCTGGACGTCTTTCTGAGGAACCATGGGGCGGCTGGTCGGCTGGGGACGAGCTGAATGTGGACACACGGACAAAAGGTGTTACAAAGGGAATCAGAAAAAAATGGGCCCGACACATAGTAACTTATGTTGGAGGAACTGTGGGAAATCATACTCATATATGTTGGTTATGCCCTAAATTACATATATTTTGGAAAGAGATATTTGATGCTCTTAAAGAAGTATTCCAACAGAATATTGCTCTAAATCCGATGGTGGCTCTACTGGGAGTTTTACCTGAGGGTCTAGAAGAGAGGTCTAAGAGGTATATAATAAGAATTGTATTGACAGCAGCCCGGAAGTGCATCACTATTAAATGGTTGAAACTAAAACCTCCCACCTGTAACCGCTGGATTCGGAGAGTGTGGCATACCCACCACATGGAGCAATAACATATTTATTACGCTTACAGAAAAATACATTTATCAAGCGATGGGCCCCTGTAATGCATCTACTAATACTTGTTAACACTCTTGTATATCCCTTGTATTCTGTTTCCATCATTATTATTTGTTATTAATTTTTCTTATTTTCTAAGGTAGGCCATCTTTATTACATTTTTTATTTAGCACTGGAGTGGTACTCTGTTACTGGTTGTCTAATACTTGAAACCTATTCAGGGTTGTATTGATACAGCTGGAAAAACTGAAAATGTGACTGAAAGATATATTATACTGTATTATTGTCTGAAACGAGTTCTAAAAAAAATAGGGAAGGAGACATTGGCAACAGAGGAGGGTGGACAAGAGAAATACACATTTAAGAATAGAGTGGGAGCAAAGCATTGAAATCATCAAGACAGGATGGAGAAATTATATAAAAGTTGAATACACTTTTTGCTTGTTCACATTTGCATGGGCCATGTTGCACAAACAAGGGAGATTCAGATGAATGAAAAGTAGCCGAGGAATAAAGTTGCAGAGTAAACAATCCACAGCGTGCCTTGAGGGAAGCAGATGGACTGATTTGTTCTCAGAACTGCATCAGAGCGCTTCCGATAAACACCCACGGGGCAGAAACGCTGTGAAAACACATCTGCTGACTGGACTGTAAACTGCAAATGAACTGAGTGCAAAGCATGCTTCTTACAGCTCTCTGCTAGCTGTGCCATTACTCAGATCACACACCTGTGTCTGCTTCGAGAATTATGCAAACAAATGTTACCTTGTTTGTTACTGCTACACCTCAAAATACCACTAAACCTTTAAAACGCCATAACAGATAATAATGTTATTTGATGTGCTCTTCTGGATAGACTGGTGCAGGAATAAGTCCTAAAATCAGTTATTATTGTATTACTTTCCCTGTGTTTAAGTCAACGTTTATTTGAACATGTTTTAGGTTATGTATTATGAACACAAGATTAACATATGTTCATGTTCAGCTGTCATTCAAACAGCGGTTGCAAGCTTTTTGTCTACAGACAACTTCCGGGTCAGCATACAAAATACATCATCGCTGCAGCACTGTATTACTGTTGTTAATCATCTGCTATAAATCCAGCAGTCTAACATGGTTACCTCTCTTCTCCGTGGTGACCACCAGCGCCTCAGCAGCCTCGCCCCAGCCCTTCCTCGTCTGCGCTTTGATGCGGAACACGTAGACGGACTCCGGCTTGAGGCTGGTCACAGTGTACTGGCGAGCACTGGGGATCAGCACGTCCACTGTGGGTGTGTTGCTGTTGGAGGAGTTGAGGTGGTATGTGATCTGGTAGGCTGGGGGAAGATGGAGGAAAACATATCTTATTAAGGTGTCAAATGGAGCTCAGTTTGAGGGTAAAACTAGGATGAAACATGCTTTATTTGTTGCTTCTGTTGGTAATAGCCAACTGTGCAACAAGCAGATTTGTCTCTTCTGAAACGACTCTATTAGCATCTGCATGCTACTGTGTGGGACTGACATACTGTATAGTTTAAAATAAATTATCCGACAGATGTATAATGACTCAATCGCTCACAGGGAAATCCGCTATTAGCTTAGAAGAGATCCCAACTCCCTTTAGAGCCAGGAAATCACAAGATTTGACATTAAACACCGCCAAAGTATGTTGAAAGTCAACATCAGTGGGCTCCATTCAAAAAATATATTTCTGGATTATATGCTAGATTTTAGAGTAAAATGTCAAGGAATAATGGTAGTGAGAGAAAATAACTACTTTTGTATGTTACTAACCAAGTATTATGCCATTAGGCTGCGAGGGAGACTGCCAAATAAGCCTGACAGAGGTGGTCCGCACTTCAGGGAATAGGATACCCACAGGAGGTCCTGGCACTGCAGGAAATAAACAGACAAAACACTGAATACTTTAACAACTCGGACTTTGCTTACGTTTCATTTACACTTATTTGTTCACCAAAGATCCTATCAAGCTGAAGATAAATCGTCCAAATGTTAATGAAAGGTTAATACAAATTGTAAATGTCAATAGCATAAAAGCAAATGTTCTACTTGGACTATGCCAAATAACATTGTTTACAATTTTCTTTGATGTGATACTACATGCTTAAATGCTTAACGTTGTCCCTACCATCATCCAGAGTCCTCTCCAGGATGGGTGGAGAACTGGGCCGTCCATCTCCAATCCGTGTGAAAGCCAGAACCTGGATCTCATACAGAACGTATTTCCCAAGACCGGTGAGCTGAATGCTGTGGGTGGCGTTCCCCTCCACCATCCAGAAGTGGACCGCACTGTCAGAGTCCTTCTCTTTGAACACCACCTGATCCAGGGACGAGAAAGGCGAGAGATGTTGGGGGAAAAGGGGATTTGGAAATAACACAGTGTCACCCTGCTGCTCTGTATACTGCCTAACAATAGTTGTCTTACGGGACAATTAGATGGTTTCTGACTGCTCAGTACAAGAAGCACAAACAGACCTTGTAGCCAAGAATGAGTCCATTTCTGTCTGGCTCGGGAACTTCAAACCAGCGCACCAGGATGCTGCTGGAGGTGGTGGCGAAGGCAGAAACGTTGGTGGGTCCACAGGAGGGGACTGGAACACAAAGAGAGCAGGAGCCAGAAACATTAGGCCTCAATAGTCCATTGTTTGCCATTTCTTCTGAAAAATTCATTAGTCTATTTACTGTGTGGATGTACTTTGATTGATCTGATATGGTTATGGCCTGTGTGCTTGTGTTTGCACAAAGCCTCTGATATCCTGTTATACCCTGCAGGCCTGCTGTACAAAATAAAGACTGCAAGAATAGGCCTTTTCTCTTCCTTGGCACTTATCTCTGGACATAATGCGCTGATTCCTAAGAATCTGCTGAAGTGAGTGGAAAAAGGGAGCACAGGAATTCCACATTTGAGTCCATGTGTTCTCAATTTCCTCAGACTCTTTCCATTCCTCACTGCTCGACGTCTGCTGAGCGATATGAAAGCAGAAGCATGGAGGGAGAATTGCTCGGCTGCTAAAAAGAGCATTATAGTGCCTGCTCATACAATCATTTCACATATGGCAGTGTAAACTGTTTGTTCCTTTTAATGTGACTAATCATGTAGATTTTCCACACAGATGTTGCAACAATAACATTAGTATTAGAAAAGTAACATGGGGCTTTAATTCATGGACAAATCTATGAAAATATGGTCATAGTTCTTAAATAGGAATGTGTTGTCTTGCTTGTTATTTGTTTGTTATAAATCCTCATTTAATTGTAGCTTCTGTTGACACAACCTGACACTTTGCAGCACAAACAAAAGTGCTTCTGGGTAATTAAGCGAGCCATGCTTTGGTGTTTTTGTGATGCTAATGAAGCATATGTCTTCCCTCTAGGATCATTGATCATTTGACTCTCATATATTTCTCTCTGTGGATGACAGATGACTCACCAGACTCCCTCGTCCTGCCTCTGACGGGCTGGCTCCAGGGTCCCGTCCCGATGCCGTTGACGGCCTGGACCCTGACCTCGTACTCCGTCCACTCCTCCAGGTCCTCGATGGTGAACTCTCTCTCCAGGCGGTCTGCGATGATGTGGATCAGCGCCCGGCCCTGTGAGCCCGCGCGGGAGTACTGGACCCTGTAGCCCACCTGCTCTGCGTTCCCGTTGTACTCCCATTCAGGCAAAGGCTAAGCATGAACATTGAGAGAGTAAGGGATAGGGAAAAGGGGTCAAAATACTTATACTGCACAATTAATCAAATGATTCTCCAAATCACAGAGGACTAGTGCAATATCTAAATTATAATTGTTGTTATAGGCCAGGGGTGCCCAACCTTTTTTGAACCGAGAGCTACTTTTAAAGTTGCCAGTCTGCCGAGATCTACCAGTCCAAATAGAGAGGCGTATCCATTACTGACAGGTAAATACACACTTCTACTTGTATAAAACTGACCTTTGTACGATTAATACTCCATAAACTACTGCAGATCCTTTATCTTACCTCTTTCTAATCTACACACGTACAAGTATTTAACTGAAGTTACACAACAGTCTTGTTGATACAGAGTTGGTGTTTATTCACACGTCACTACAGTGGGTCATGTTTTCAAGAAGCATTGAACAGTGCTGCCACATATAACACAGGGAAAAAAGAAAAGACTCTGAACCCTTTATTTGCCATTATATAAAAATAGTGTTGCTACAAAAGTATAAATGAGGCTTACTAATAAGACAACCCAGATCTGAAGCTACACAGGAATCTGCTGCAACAGTGCAATAAAAAAGACAAAATTAATAGAATCAAACCCTTTTTTTGTTGCATTTTAGTAGATTATAAAAATAAATGCCTTTAAAATAGGATGCAAGCAACACTAGTTTCTTAACCTGAATTGATAATAGACTATAATCAATTTAAGTTTGCATTCTTATACCATTTTGTACAATAATTATAATGAATAAGTTCAAACAAACTAAAACTTACAGCTGATTAATAACGGTATCTAACTTGAGTTTTTATCATATCAAAAACCTGTTGAAATGCTACTGTTATTTTTATTACGCATCGGCAGCCTCCAGGCACGCTTCTTTCACAACTTCGCCGTCTTTGAAAGACTTCATGTGTTTCTCAAGAACGTGACTGACACGATACGATGCTCTGGTAGCAGCCTTGCTCTTGTTGTTGGGCCTGGTGAAAATGGACTGCTGTGCATTAGCTGTCCTTTCAGGCCCCTCCCCTTTTGGAGCGTAGGGCAGAATTAGGAGGGAATTCCGTCTCGTAGCGTTTGTGCACTGTTTTGAAATGCCGCTCCTAAATGACCCTTCTTCGATAAAGCTACGCTCGCATTGCAGATGAGACAGATGGACTTTAAATTGGAATAGATATAAAAATAATCATCCTCCCACTCGGAGTGAAAATTATATATGTTTTGCTTCTGCCATAATTGCGGGCTTGTGTGTGTGCGGACTGTCACTCCTGTTGACACGGACAACGTTAGCGAACTAGTGCACTGCCCACTGCTCACCAGCCACGCCCCGACACATGGGGTCACGCCGGCCAATCACAAAGCTTTGATGCGTTCAAGTGCATTATTCTGGCACAGGAAGATTATGTTACAGGACATTAACGATAAAACAGAATATTGTTGTTCTATTTTTAGACACATCTCGCGATCGACTGGGAATCTCCCCGCGATCGACCGGTCGATCGCGATCGACTGGTTGGGCACTCCTGTTATAGGCCAACAAATAAAATGTTTAATGAGGTATTCTGGAACTACAGTGGAATCCAGGCCTACAATGAGTATACTACAGACTTATTAAGAACATATTGTTTGGTGTTGGCCCTTTATAACAAATAAAACACACCATGATCATTTTATTGGATTTTTATTACGGTAATATGAGTATTTATTTAAAAAATAATCCTTCCCTCTTATATCTGGAAACATATCACAATGGCAATATCTGTCAAAATAATCACAACTTGTTGTTTTTTCCAAATTGTGCTATACTATAGTGAGACATCACGATTCACTAATGTGATGAATATTCACGAGATGCACACAGGAAGCTGAGTCCTACTCACCATCCATCGCAACCAGAGGCTGGTCTCGCTGGCGGTGCGCAGGGTGACGTTGGCGGGGGCCATGTCAGGGGGGGCAGGGAGAGTCTGGATCTTCCTGGAGGGCTGGCTGGGGAGGCTGGTGCCAACAATGTTCACCTGGCGCATACGGAACCTGAAAAAACATCGTAATGCTGCTTTCATCTGAACTGAAATCAGTTTAGAAAACTTGGAATTAACTCCTGGGGTTTTTGTAACTCTTGCAGTGTGCATCCTCTTACATGAGGCTTATTGCATTTGAACTGAGATCAGAGCACCGGCTATGCATACAGCATGAACATGAGCAGCAGGCTTGTTTGTTACAGCCTCTATATGCAACAAAAACAACATTTTGCTGTCTAACTCTAATCAAATGTAAACGGGCAGCACTGATGTTAGAATGATGATAGCTGTTGTAGGTCTTCAGGGATTGGTGAAATGTGCATTTGTTATATTGAATGTGATGGCAGAAGACTGAAACAAGATAAAGAGCATGCATGCTGTTAAAAAATGATTTTGAAACCACACTGTCCATAACAAGCTTGTATCCAAATCAAAAGGAAAGGAGAATGAGATAAGGCTCCTGGGATGAGCTGAATTTAGCCGAGATACTGAAACACACATACACTTTATCTGTTGTTTGTCACAATCTGCACACGCTTAATTAGCATGTTATCTAGCATTAGCTTATTCTTGGAAATTATGAGACTATCCTATTACTATAACAATGCACTGACTGCAAACAAAAGAAGATAGTCTTGTGACAGCCGATTCAACTTGGATGCGTTTGAGGCCTTTGGGTACTTGTTTGTTTGCTGCTATGTATAATTAGTTTTAGTATTTATTTGCAGGATTCAAAGTCCAGGATACATTTATTACATTTTAATATCTAGGCTAAGTCCGGGCTCATTTGAAGGGTTCGCCAATATTGGTTATTTTCGGATGCTCATTAGAGATAACAATATGAAGAGTAAAGCAGACGGTTCACAGTACCTGTAGAAGGTGTAAGGGTTGAGACCAGGCACCTCCAAGGAGCGAGCCTCAGGTTCGTTGGACACTTTGTGGACCATCACCCAGTCCTCATTCTCCCCCACCACAGAAACCTGGGAGCAAGAACAATTTGATCTTTAGTCTTCAGCATAAAGAAGATGACTTAAAAAAGACCGCAAAACATGACAAAGGAAATGTGAACTTCAGCTCTGGATTAAATGTGGTTCACCTGGGCCTCCATCTGCCAACGGGAAATGGAGGTTTTGCCATCATAACCCGGTTTGAACTGTAGGGTGACGGAGCGTGGGCCGATGTTGGAGATTGCCACATTGGTAGGAGGACCAGGAAGCTCTGTGAAGAGAGAAGAGTCAGTGTTGAACTTAAAAAAGACAGAAGAATAATGAGTTATGGAGCAAGCAATGCACTGACAATGCTCTGGGACTATTTTGTGTGGCGGCCTCTTCCACATGCTGCTTTTGGGTTGTAGACTTTGATTAGGAACATCTATCTCCCACAGCACCCCCTTGTGGCCGTACAGATACTGCACATAGATTTATTCCTCTCCCTTGTGCTACCAACTTCAGCTAAAACAGCAAAAGTAGATTAGGAAAAGATGCTTAGACGCAGTACACAGGCGGAGACAATGCCATGAATGCCAATTATACTGCAGTTATCTGGAGATACGATTAAATCTGATATCACACATTTACACTTGAGCTGAGTAAACCATACAAATGGATTATTCCCTGGAAATCCAAGAGGGGAATCTGAAAACGCTGAATATGTAGAACAGCAGGACGCCTTTTCAGTGTATATGAATATCATCGTTTGTAGGAATGTTTTTTGCGAGTCTGTGTTTATTGGGAGGCTGTTTGAGAATGTGCCTGCGCATTAAACAACGTACGTACTTCTCGTCTTTTTTCCCTTTTATGCTTCCCTCAAGACAAGCATTACACCCAGTACTCGAGTTGAGGGGGGATGAGGGGGGGTGGCATCCCCCCTGAAATAAAAACGGTCAAAATCATCCCCCTTCTAAAACTGCCATTCCCCCTTTCCATCCCTTATGTCATTTGATCAATGAACGTGGCACTGGTATTACTGCTATTTCAACATTAATTTTGCGCATTTTGAGTAAAATACTGTGGGCGAGGGAGCACGCACACACGCAATGACATTTTTACCAAGTCACTGACGCTATACTATGCGAGTGCCCTAGAGGGCGCCTGTCTGATCGATGCCAGAAGCGCAGGGAACGGTCATCACAATGGCCAAGCGACCAGGAGGACAACGCGATCTGAGGGACTTCATATTTAAAAATACTAAAAATAACATTTCAGGTAAGTCAAGAGTCAGTAATCTTAGTCATTACTCATTACTTTAGTCACCAAAGGTGGAATATATGGACATAAGCAGCAATAACAACTTAGTTGGAGTTTAGCTACGTTTTTCTCTCGTGTTAGCTAGCTGGTAAGACTCAAAACTGTTGATGAAATGATACCACCAGCACCAGAAGAGCTGAAACCCCTCCTTCAAGCAGTGAACACTCTGGTCATCTCCACAGCTGAGTGTGAACGTGGGTTTAGTCAGATGAACATTTTAACCACAACTAGAAGCTCCCTAGAGGTAAAAAGCATGTCAGCCTTGCTTTTCATCAAGTGTGCTGGCCCTCCACTGAACAAGTTCAGACCAGAGGTACAGTATATGTCAAGACTTGGCTTCAAAGCCATTGCTTAGCTAACAATCCGAAAGCAAGAGTCAGAAAAATTGAGACCAAAAAGCATGATTATGTAAATCTTTGGAAACTTCTATGAGATGGGGGAGAGTGGAGTAGGCAGCCATTGACAACATTGGTCCTATTTTGTATTATCTGTATAATCTTTTAATATATTTTCATATTTTGTAAACAATTTCAATTTGCACTTAATGCCCTGTTAAAAAAAGTAACATTGGGAATGTTAACATACAATATTTGTATTTGAAATGCAATAAAATGATGACGGATCAATATTTTTCTATTTTTTTCGCTCACATTTTTCATGAAGAATTTACATAATGATTTAATTAATTACGATACAAATGTAACCCTTTAGATACCAGTTTTGATCGTATACCAGTAACTGCTTTTTTGAAAAAATACACTATAATTCAATATTCTAAAAACTATTTTGACTTTATTATTAGTATAATCAGTTGATCCATCTGAATAATAAATGAGGGACTGTTAACCTACAAGATTTGTACCATAGACTTCCATTATAACCATATTTTTGTATCCCCTCCCCCCCTTTAAATTAAAGTGAAAAAAAGATTTTGCACTAATTGTCCTCTGCATTTGACCCTAAATGTTAGTGGTGCCATGGCAGCCCGGGGACCGACTCTAATTCTGAGGTGCCTTGGTCAAGAGCAATGAAAGGAGTATCTGAACATCCATAACATGCATGTTGTTCTAGGAGTATAATAAGGATCTTTATGCTGGTTGGTCTCCCACCCTCGGCGGGCTATCAGCACAAATTATGTCCCCATATGATAAAATCCACCATCCCCCCTGATTTTTTTTTTACAACTTGAGTACTGATTACACCTACTATAACATATGACCATTCCAAAGCACAATATAGTTTAAATAAATCCTAGTTAAAAGATATGAACGCCAACTGCTTATTGGAGCGTGGACAGGGGCGTAATATTCAAATAGATGCAATCACTCCCAAGGGAGCACTTTCTTCCAAGATTGCTTAAATGCGGGTTGTATTCAACATGAATGGAATGCAGATTACACGGGTCATAGTTAAATTACCACTTTTCATTTGCATGACTGATAACTGAGGTGGTCATGGTACAGTTGCCGGCACATAGGTGTTTTCTTTACACATATACAATGAGAGTAATCACCATTTTGGGGACTATAACGGCTGCTGTGAAGCCTGCATTTAACAGCCTGTTTTCTCACAGGTTTCACAGATGCTCTGAATGCTGCTCTAGTAATTGATGTGGGCATTGTGTTTTCTATAACACAATTTCGCAAATCTGAAATAATTAAAGACCATAATTGTCCTTAATGCTCTCGTGGGAGCTGTTATTTTGCAGATGTGCGCAGCTATTTGTATTGGTGACTCTCTCCGGCTCGGTCCCGGTTGAGGTGACCCGGGTCAGATTTCATTGTGTCTGGCGCCAGACAACAGAGAGAGTGTTCACCAGATTAAAGGTGAAGCAGTAAATATGCAGGAAGGGGAGTTTTAATAGAAGGTTCCCTGCTATTGAGATATTAACCCGGAGTGAACACTTTTAACAGAAGGGCCTGCATTATAAACAAAATGAGGCTTCAGGAGGCAGGGAGGCTCAAATAAAATATGCCATTGAGGTGCATCTCGGGGAATGTAGGAAATAGTTTTTGGAGCTTGACTTTATAGGAACTAAAACGAAGGATGTTTTGGTCTTAATTACTTAGATTTTCATAATGATCTCTGTAATCAGTCTATCAAGCCTCTCAGACACCCCTTTCAGTAATGGTCTGTTTGTATGCACAATTTAAAAATAGCCAAAGGCAGAAAACCCCCTGTGCTAGTTCACTTACTTTTATAATGCTGCTTCTTATTTTGACCATTGTAGTGTACTAATTTGATTTGTATTACATGTGTGTTTGCCTCATTATTATTTGTAAGCCCACATTAAGCTTACTTGGCTGTTGTAATTTCCCTTGCTATGGGACGGATAAAGGACATCTGATGAACAGTGTTGTGCTAGTTACTGAAAACCAGTAACTAGTTACCATTACTAGTTACTTAATGCAAAAAGTAACTCAGTTACTTTACTAGTTAATTACACCCAAAAGTAATGCGTTACTGTGAAAAGTAACGTTTTCGTTACTTAGAAAAAGGGATCCTATTAATGCCCTTATAGCCTTCATTTCAGTACTGTTATTACATTGGAGAATAATATAATCTGTTGATCAACTTGACATGCATTATATGCAATCTGGATTGCATCGATATGAGCTGGCTTTCCATTTTTGTATATTCTTTCTCCAGGTAGTTGGAAAAAGTGTTCCGTCCCATATGCCGTGTGCCGCCCGGACATGCTATCATGCTAACTAGCTCCCTGAAAGCGGGTGACTCCACTGTAGCAATAGCCTGCATGTGTTCTACAACATACCGTGCAATGGCTTTATCGACTTTTCCCTGGCCAGCAGTCCCTTGGTTAAAATCCAGCCGCTGTTGCTTAGGTGGAGGTGGAGTGGCGTCGGCTGAGTCTCTGTGGTCTTAGCTACTAGCTTCGTCCCAGCATGTTGTTTTTGCAGATGTTTTAAGAGATTTGAATTACTGGTTTGGGCAGTAGATAGGATCTTTGACCCGCCAAGACACAACTTACATTTAACTAAAACGTTATTTTCTTTGTGCTCGACAAAAGTGAAATAGTGAGAATATCTCCAGGTGGAGAAACTAGACTTGAGCTCCGCCGCCGCCATGATAGTCTTGTTAGTAAACAACACAAACACGCCCACAGCGAGTCTCCGCATGTGACACAGGAAGTATCTAAGTACATTTACTCAAGTACTTATGTACAGTTCTCATCTCTGTTCGCCTGGCTGTTGACTATATAAAAAAACTAACGGAGTAACGCACCATGTAGTAACGGTAACTGAGTTACTGAATATAAAAAGTAATGCGTTAGAGTACTAGTTACTGCCAAAAATAACGGCGTTACAGTAACGCGTTACTTGTAACGCGTTAGTCCCAACACTGCTGATGACACAACATTAATCAAATTATATGCTTATAAAATAGTAATGGCAAAATAATAAACAAGATTTAAACCACAACAACAGAAGGAAGTAAGTGGCCTATCCAGACAGAATAGTTGGGACATTTCTAGAAATAAATGTTATTGCTGTGACCACACAACTGAGACTCATCTCACAACATGGGCAAATATTGGTGTGGCTAGACATCCCTAGAGCTAAGTGAGAACATATGTTTTGTTATTTTGTTTTGTGTACTGATCCTTTGGTGTGAGTACTGTTTGGTTCCTGACCTGGTGGGACCCCGGAGGAGATGGTGGAGGAGGACAGCTGGCCCTGGCCTTTGGACGTCATCCCTGCCACTTCTATGGTGTAGGTGGTGAGAGCAGTGAGTCCAGTGACCCTGTACTCTAAGGTGACATTGGGCAGGTAGTGGGTAACTCTGGTGTTGGTGCGGTTGAACTCCTCCCACGAAATGCGGTAACCTGTAGAGCGACAGAGAGTGGTTTACAGAAACAGACAGAGAGTCCTCTTGGGGAAAATTCTACATCAGTTTTACTATAATAGCAACTCTCGGCGAGCATGCCACGAGGCAAGCTAACAGAAATATTAAATTAACTTCATCAAAAATTGAATATAGCAAATTAAATCAGCCCGTGATTATATCTCCCTGCACACACACACACACACACACAACACACACACACACACACACACACACACACACACACACACACACACACACCACACACACACACACACACACACACACACACACACACACACACACACACACACACACACACACACCACACACACACACACACACACACACACACACACACACACACACACACACCCACACACACAACTGTACCCTCTCAAAGTTAATACAATTTGCTTCTTGGCCAGCAGCTCTTTTCATGTGATTGCATAATGGGCAGCATTTCATGCCAAATCAATAATTTCACATGGCACGTCAGTGCTTGTCTCCTGCTGTGTGCACTTTCAAATGTGTTCAAGATATTCTGCTGGATTTCGACCTCGGAAAACACTTAAATATTAATGTCAGTGTAAGCCATTTGTTCTTCACTTAGATGTTGCAGTGTAGAAGTAACAGTTGCCTACTAGAAGTATATTTAATTAAGGCACGTATATTCATGGCCTAGTGAGACAACATTTTTATTTATAGAGGCCTAAATATGCGTTTTGGGGTTTTCCCTTTCCTGAAGTGTGTTATATAGGATTTAGTGCATATATATGGTATGCGAAGGCTAAAATCCCAAAGTTCCCTCAAGAGGTAGTTTCTCTCCCACAGAATGTACTTGCAAAGCTCAGGGGAGGAGAGAAAATGTCTTTGTGTGCAATGTAATGTTTTATGTAGGAAGTTGTATCATTTTCTAACAAGTGTTGTTCAACTGATGTAATGGGATATTGGCTGTTGTGTAAGCTCATGCAGCTTAGGCAGCAGAATGAAAAAAAGAAGCAAAACAAGAACATTTCATTGAGCTGACTGCAGAAATCCATCCTTGTACCAGTATCATGTTGAGGTGAGCTGGATATACCTGTGAGGACTCCATTCTTCTCGCCGGGCTCGCTCCAGCTGACTTTGAGCGAGGTGTCCAGGATCTCAGTGAAGCTCAGGTGACCCACAGCACCGGGGGCTGAGCGGGGACAAATAATAAACATGAGCAGGGCCAATGGGTAAACAAGACACTCTGGAACGGTGGACATATCGGCAAACTGGTGACGGCATTTGCATTTTCACTAAACTAAATCAGCCCAAACAAAAACTGTCTGATGACAAGTTGAGAACAATTAACAGTTTCTAAAGCTTAACCAATTATCTCAGAGGGAAGTCCCAATTATGATGATGCTGCCTAGATGCAGCATAAACTCACTTCTGCACAACTTGGTTCCGCATGAATAATAGATGTTGCCCAGAGGATGTGTTAGTGTGAGATGCTTCATGTCCCCTCGCCACCACCAGAGAGTGAGAGAAATGTGGATGAGAGTCACTTACTGTCCTCGTGTGTCCTCGATGCTTTGGGCGGGCTCCGGGGGCCGTCTCCTGGCGTGGTGAAACACAGCACAGAGGTGTAATACTCTGTGAACTTCTTGAGACCTGTCACATATCCCACATGGACGCTGTCCTGGAAGTTCGGTCGCACTGTTACCATAGTAACATCGTCGTCTCTGCCGGGCTCCCAGGCCAGTAACTGAAACAGACAGAGAGGGACACGTTAGACTGAAGAAAATCAGCCAGAAAGCTGCTAATGATGTTTCTGTAATACACATTTAACCTTACAAATCTAACAACATTATCTCTCCCCGGTAGTCATGAGCCACTCTGAGGAGTTATTTGGCATCATTGCTCTCCTAAATATATATTTATAAAGACACCCTGAAGAGCTTTTCACTGGGAGGGTATGGCTGATTAGCTCCATTAAAACAGACTGGGAAATGTAGAGATTCAAGGCTCAAGAGAGGCATCTCATCATGCATTTTGATAGCGCACCATGTAGCATCTCCAAATGGGAGCTGGATCAACCAATTAGGTGCTTAGTTAATGAGACCCATTGGATTTCTGTTGGGTATGTTTCCAGAGAGTGGGAAGCTTGCAGAGAAGTCAAGAGCTGGCAAAAGAGATGTCAGAGTGAGAGATAGTTGACTGTCTGCCACTCTTTTTTTCCCCCATCCCAATCTCTTTTCCAGCACGTATTCCTTTCCTTACCTTTCTATCACCTCTCACACATTTTAAATCTCTTATTCCCATTGCTGCCTGAGTCTCTCCCCGGAAAACATTTGGCATATAAAATTCAGATTGGGTTTGAACAGTGACCCCTCCACCCTGCTGAGTAAGGCCTGTGCAGCACTATTGAACAGACAGACAAAAAGGCAAGGGGAAAAGAAACCAATGATGTAATTCAGTGGCAAATTAGTCATATCCAGATATTTCTGGAGGCGGAAAAACAGCAGTGCCCTCTGGCCGTACAGTAGCTTACCTGTTGGCTACATTTCTTAGAATATTTCAATAAAGAGATGGACTGTATTCAAGAGCCCAAAATAATGAAGACATTCATCATTACAGCCTCACTATAACGTGATAAATGGATGCGGGAATAAAGAGAGTGACCGACTGACAAATGGGTGAACACGGTCCATTCGTCACCATGACACCAAATATATTTTGCCCCTTGGCTCCGCTCCCCCTTTTGCTACACAGGACATGTGATACTACAAGCTCATCGCTGACACTTCTGTCAATGGATGTGTCGGCCGGTGGGGACGTCGCCGCGGCAACTACTGACCTTGTAGCCCTGGTTGATGCCGTTGATGAACTGAGGGTTAGGGGCCGTCCACGTGAAACGGATAGTTGTCGAGTTGACCGGCTCGGCCTGCACATTTCCGGGGGCGATGGTGGGTACTGGGATGGACGATAGGAGGGAGAGGAGAAATGGAAAGACAAAGGTGTGAGAACACATTTCAGATGACTGCTGGAAGCCTTCCTGCATCTATTTTGATGTGGGTATTGATCACTGCTGCACAGGTCAGGGTACATACTGCCATCACTCTCCTTCTGTCGGCACTAACACCTAATACCAGGGCTCTGTGACTTTCTTTGAGTGAGCTGCTTATAGATTTCAGCCGGGATGCAACCTTTGTGTGATCCTTACAAAGAAGAATCAATGCATCAAGTGTTTTTTTTTTTTACTGGAAAATGCGTACTGCTATTATTGCACTGTTCCCACAGGATGTTGCATTCATTGTGAATAATGATCACGCTTGAAATTAACACATATAAACGCAGACTCATTGAAAATGACACATTTGATAAATAAGAAAGAAATGAGTCAGCACATTAGTTTTGGTCTCGGTCGATAACATTGATGATGTGCGCTCACCTCCCTGCAGAGTCCACTCAGTGACTTTATGGCTGAAAGTGCCCAAACCCGCCACGTTGTACGCGGCAACCTCAATCTCATAGTTGGTCCATATGATTAGGTCCTCCAGGAGAAGGTTAGTCACCTCAGGACTAGTTATGTTCTTTATCTGGTAGTCCACAGGAAGGCCAGTCAGACGGTACCTAAGACACACAGAGGAAAAAGGAAGCATTAGATGCATCTATTCGTTGTGTTTTTTTACACCCTGAATTTGAAATGTATTTCAGTTCTGCTGCTTGAGTCAGTACACTAGAGTCCCTGCTAGGGGGAGACAAAGCACCAGCAAACAAGCAATTAAAAAAACCACTGACAGACCTGGAAAACACCTGCTGTTTTATTTGGATGTAATGAACAGAAAACCAACCTAATTACATGTTTACAGGAATTACACTCAGTTTGGCATTTTGCTGACTCTGCCTATTAGAGTTGCTAAAGTTTGGCTGAAGTCAAAAGAAGTCATAGAATGTTTAGTTTTCTCTCAGAGTGAATCATTTGGTTGTTTACTGAAACCGTGGGGATTTTAGGCTTTAAAGTAAAACATGCCGCCGGTAACTTATATCCAGCTCTTACCATAATTAGATAATGGAGTGGAAATTAAGAAAAAACTATATTAAATGGAACATTTTCAGGTAGTAATTAAAGTGTGGGCTGGTGTGCATAACAAGGTGAAATTCACAATTCACAATGTCTCTTTTCATTCGTTCATACTGAAGTTTGCAAATCTTAAGTTCTCAATGCGACAAATGATGTGAAATCAATCGATTAAAGAGAACACCAAGCCAAGGTAAACAGACGGGATCATATCTTCCTTAGATACGATTTTAAGTTGAAGTGAATCTATGTTTATAACTTATAACTATAAAAATAAAGAAATGGATGGTTGGATGAACAGGGATCTTACCGGACGGTGTAGCCCCTGAGGATGCCGTTCTGGTGGCTTTCGGGCGGGGGCTGCCACTGGATCATGATGGACTGGTTGGTGCGACCGCTGGCAATGACGTTTTGAGTCGGAGCACTGGGGGGCTCCTCTGGGAGAGAGACCCTGCACAACACATAAACATGCAGAGCTTTGAAGAGAGAACGAGTGAGGAAAAAGGATGTTTTCTTTATGGAATGATATAATGGAGCATATGATTTTCATTTCATTGAATTTCAAACCTTTATTTATGCAGGTGAATCCCATTGAGATCATTGATCTCTTTTTCAAGGGTTTTGAAGCTTAACATCAGTTTAATTTCAACTGAAGCCATTACGCAATATAGGGGTGTAACTAGATTTGAAGGTCAACTATCTAATATCATCAACGCAGACAACAAAATAAATCAATACACATCATCATCTTTAAGATGTGCTTTTCTCTGAATGCAATAAGCGCACAGTGCCAGCGTCTGTGAATACAGGCCAGTTTTGTGACTAAATTCTACAATGACTCATGCTCAGCTCCCTTGTCATTTTTGCCACCTGCTGATTATATTGAAGGAGGTTAGGCACAACAACGACTCACTTAAGGTGGACCAGCTGTTCTCCTTTTAGTGACTGCTTTAACAGCTTTGACCAGACACCGAGACCTCAACAACATGTAAATGTAATCAAACGAAAATGATCTAAATGTCTGGAAGAGCTCATTTCTAAAGTTGTCAAATGATATTTAACTGCTTTTTGTAAGTTGAGTAGCTGATGTGTGGAATGGGAAAATGATATCTTGTCTAATCAGTCGCAGGTCCATGAGAATTGGATAGAAACAGTTTTGACTTTGTAACATAGGGAAACATTGTATCCTTGTCCAAAGAATGGATATATCGTATCATGATAAAAACCTGTGATTGCTACTTCGAAACCTCTTCTTCTGTCCCCTTATCGTTTCTTACAGCTTTGTTTTCTTTGTTAAAAACCCTGACCATATCAGGGCTTATCAGCCACCGAACGATTTATATATATATATATATATATATATATATATATAAGTGTCCTGACAAAACACCAGGAGCGTCTGAGATCAGTGGCGGTGACTAAGTTCCAAATGGCGTCACAGAGCGTACGGTGCCAGCTCCCTTGCACACAGACGGAGCCCCCCCGTGGCTCTCCCCTGGCAGCGTGACTGACTGGTGCAGGGAGGGGGGGGGGGGGGGAGATAGTGTGAGGAATAAGTGCTTGAAGTTGTGTGAGGCCGCAGAAAGGCCAAACCTAAAGCTGCCTCGAACCTAAATGCCTCCTGCGGCTTTCAGAATGCTTACATATCCCTCTTCACTGACTCTTGACTGAAGGGATGAGTCAATCTGGTTGTCTAGGAAACCGATTTCTTGAGCACAATGCAGTATTAGCCGACAACAAAATGTTCTGTAGGTTTTAATTTTCTAGGCTTGAATTCATCACATTTCTCATTGCTATTGCCAATTAAACAAGAAGAAATATGATGTTTCATTAACTTCGTCCTCGGAAACTGAAAAAAAAGTGTAGCTTCCCCTACAAAAACAAACTGTGCTAGCATTTTGTATTTCTCTACTTTGTATGATTGGATAAAAAGGGACAGACAAGCTGTTCTAGTGTTGATGTGCAGTAGATATGGGATCTGTCTTCAGCTCACCGTTCTGTCTCCTTGCTGAACTGCCCCTTCCCCACATCATTAACGGCACAGAGGCGGAACTGATAGGAGCGCGCCGGGATCAAACCGTTCACCGTCACCACTGTGGACTCTGGCTCGATGTTTGCCAGCAAGATGGCCCAGGGAGCATCTAGAAGAAAGAAAAATCAACTTCAACGCCTTGTTCCTCTGATATGTTATGCTAACCATTTGTCTGAACATCCCATGAAATGTAACACTTTGTAAGAACGGACTCAGACAATTCTAGCAAATGTTCATTATTCGTCAGAAGGGATTTTCACTCATGCTTACAATCAATTTGTCATGGCAGGTCACAATTTAAACTTCTAATTCAATAAATGAAACAAGTCATGGTCAGAAAAAGGAACCGAGAGCACACTATGCTGCAGATTTAAGCTGAACAGTTCTTCACTTCAATTTATATTAGAACATGCTTCGAACATATTTTATTCATGAAGTGCTGTAAAGTGATTGACTGTAGTGAAGCTTACACATCCAACGTGAGATTAAAAGCAATGATGGACATGCTTAATTAGTCTCATTGATTCTACTTCTAAATGTGTTTTGGAGTTATTTGCTGTATTTGCTTTACAGTTAGGCGCCTTGAGAAAAACATTGACTTCATAGAAGCCTGACAGCATGGAATAAGAAATCTAAACAAACTACATTTAAAGTATTTTTTACTTGTTGCTCAACTGGGAATCGAAGAGCCAACTTCCCTCCGTATAACCCCTTATATAGAAAATATACAAAGCATAGAAGATAGCGAGCAAAGCTAAAGTTGAATGGAAAAGACTGGATATTTTGTGACTTACTGTTCTCAGAAACCTCCAGGATGTAGCGAATGAGGGGGCTGTTGCCATCAAAAGGCTTGGCCCAGGCCAGGTCGATGGCTCTTTTTTCCGATGCGCTCAGCACGGCTGTAGGGTTCTCTGGAGCATGGGGCAGCTGCCTGCAGGGAGCAGCAGGACAACTTTCGATAAATAAAACAATCTCTCCTATCACAGCAAATCATCCGCGGGGGACAGAGAGTTACCGGAAATGTCTGTCCTCGCTGAACGTCTAGGGCCAAATCTGAAGTAAGGCTGAATGTTTTATAACAGTTAAGACAGGTGATGAAATGCGGCAAGACAAGACTGCAAAGATGGTTTGCTGTCGAGATGGACACACGAGCAAACAAAAGGAGATGGATAACGCCAGAGGGGAGCGAAATGGATTGAAAGACATAAGGAGACAGATAGGAAAGGAATTCACAGAGCAAGACGTGAATAAATGAGGCTAAAGCTATGGATCATTAATTCAATTCAGCCATGAATTCAGATAAGAACAAACGGATGGATCAATCTTATAGCAATGAACCAAAACAGCCAGTATACTGTCAGAAAGCAGCCAGCCAATGAGCCGGCCAATAGGGGGACGGAGAACGACACAGACAGTCCATCGGTTTGGCTAACAGAAAGTTAGATGTCTCATTCATATTGAATTTACGCTTGTGTGCAAAAGAAAAACAACAGCAAGCAAAGTTTTGGGAGAAAACAAGATTTGAGACAACAGTAAAACAATGCAGAGGTGTTTGTGTGAGCGTGTAGTCTCACAGATGGAATGGAGGGGGGTGGGGGGGCGGTCCCCTGGGGCTGAAAGTGTGTGAGGTGAGAATGAGGACAGGGGAGGTGAGAAGAAATCGTCATTTATGTGGAAATGAGTAAGAGGTGTCAATAGGAAAAAGCAGCGAAAGGATGGTGGAAAACGGGTGTTCATTAATGTGTGTACGTTTCCTAGTAGATCATGTGGGAACTTGTTTCTTCCTGTGTTATGCACTGGAGCATAGCATAGAAACAATGAGGAGAGACAACATTTAAAAAGGAACCAGGCGAGGGTGACAGTGGTTACCTGACTCTGAGGTGAGCGCTGCGGGAGTCGTTCCCCCCAACGGAGGTGACTCTGCAGGTGTATGTGCCGATGTCACCTGACCAGGTCTGGGAGATGTGGAGGGTCCCGTCTGCCTCCAGGCGCATGCGGGGGATGGACTGGACGTTGACCACTGAGCCCTCTTTCTCCCAGACATGCCTGGAATGCAAAATGGTCAGTCAGACTGATGTTGTTGTATGTCATCATATTCTGCTGCATATTCACATCATCAACACTATCCATTTTAATACACTGTGAATACGTAGTTGCACTTTCGAATGTAGAACCTGGATGCTATTTAAAGCTTTTACCTATGACAGTATCACTCACAACCTCCATTTTAGAGATTTGAGAAACACGTAATCAGCCAACAACACCGTCAACAGGGCAATGACGGTAGGCCTGCAATAATCATACAAAATGTATAAAACAACTTAAACACCACTGAGAAAGTACTGGATGCAAAAATGTGACAGCAGCACAACATTAGGAAAAACTGCATTTCAAAGCAACATTTGTGGAACATAACAATTAAAGTATGGGTTTCTAATTGTTTTTGATCCTTTTTCTTTCTTGCTCGCTTTGATTAGCATGCTAGTAATAGCCGTGTTGCTAACAATTTAGATGTGTACATTGATCTCCTTGTGCATATGAAAATGAATGGAGAGAACATTTGTATTGAGCGTGTCCGTTTCAAAGTTTATAAAGGAAAAAAAGCGGTGTGTCCAGCAGCTCAGGAAGAAATCCCTCCGGACTATAAAAGACCCCCATCACCCCAGCCACAAACTGTTCTGTCTGCTGACAGGCGTTCCCGCATATCCCGACTAAAACCACCAGATTCAGAGACAGTTTCATACCACAGACAATAAGACTGCTAAACAACTGAACTGCTGAAACAACATCCATAACATTCATCTGCTACTTAGTAATTATTTATCTATTTCTCTAATATATCATATTCCAATAACTTGCATATAGACTCTTATTGCACTATTTCACTTTTTTAAACTATTTTCCTTTTGTATTTACTATTTATTTGCACTATATTTTTCTGTTTATCTGTGTTATTCTGTTGCTCTGTTGGAGAAGCCTGTGACCTAAGATTGTCATCGGCATAACTACACTGTAGCTCTGTTCGTATGACTAAATAAAGAACCCTTGTCGGTATCTCAGCGGAAAATGGAAAGCAATACCACTTGGAAACGCTCTAGAGAAAAAATTAACATCAAATCCATCCATAAACATTTCGTTCCTACCACATGCTGGGATGTGAACTATGACGTACACATGCATGTCAGCTTTAGATGGTAGGTTAACTCTTTCTGACAGTAAAGCAATGAGTACACTGAGGTTTTGCTTGTCTTTTATTCCACCTCAATCCTAGAAGAATGTGTTATTAGCGAGGTATTTCATCATTCTCCTCAATGTCTCTTCAAACTCGGAGCTGCCCTGCATACATATCATAGCGTTTGGCAGCTGCATATCAAACGCTGAATACACCCTCATCAAAAGTGCACGGCTCAAACGTGGCGTCAGATGTAGCCTTCTCTCCTGAGTAGAAAGGGACAGAATGGTCTATTGATCGCTTCTGATGTCAGCTACAAGCCTGGCGTTCAGTAAATGTCTTTTGTCAGGGCTGTGTGTTGAACTGAATTGGACTGCAATTGTAAGCTGGTTGTGTGTGAGCGACTGTTCTCGTGATGTACGTGCACTGCACAAAACTGGTCGACAAACATTTCCAATCCGTGTAAGGGTTTGCTTTTGCAGGAAGCGCATGTCTAAGTCTGGTGTTTGGGACGCCGCTGTGCTCTTTCTTTGTTTTGTAGTCCATTCAGTCCAATGCTCATTCTTGCAAGGGATTTGAGCAAAGCAGCAAAAATAATAAGATACAGAGAGTTAAAAAACAAAAGTTGGACAAGATCCATTTGCACCCGGGGGACAATAGTTACACAGCAGCTATTCGGCTATTTACACCCATCCGCCCCCGACAGACTGCATTCAAGGTGGAACATCACTTGATCGTAAGTCATGGTCAAAGTGGGATTGAAGACCGTTCTGAAGCAGTATATCTTTGGTGGGATACAAGGATAAAAGGAAGGATACATGAGACAAGATGTTTACTCTTTAGAATAACTGTTTTTGTGTAAATGAAATGGAAAGCAATATGAACACTTGTGCAGTGATAAGCTAACACAGTTTGTATAGCCAAGCTAAATGCTACTGATAGGACCAGGTTACCGCGGCTCATCGAAAAAAGCTTTAGCTTCCAAAACATTGTTTGAGTTATAAACGATTAATCAAACAACTAAAGGTGTCAAGAAACATACCTTTAGGTTTAAAATTGCTATTTTTTCTTCTGGTGTAGAAGATAGCGAATGCATACAAACGTGTCCAGATGTGCAAATGGATTTTGGATCTATGGACAGATCCATATAGGTTAACGCTATTTAAAATGCCAGAATCTCTTGCAAGTGTCCCCAATGGAAGCTGCAAAGCTTTAAAAACAGGTCTTTCAAAAAGTTTTCACAAGACATACATCTAATGTGACTCCTTATGAATTCCTGAATCCAATTTAAGATCTCCCCTGCACGGTCAGGCACCCACATGTTTGTTTGTTGAACCTCACTCCTGGCTTTAAAGCAAAGGATACTTTGACTTTGAGGTTGTGTCTCCTTCCCTTTGAAACTCATTCTTTATGGACTTTTGATCTGGTGGCATTGTGGGCACTACTTTAAAAGATGAGGCTGCCTTTATTTTACATATTTTCTTATGGTAAAAATAATCCCATGAAAAGATCAAAACCCACAATGAATGTTTCTTACTAACACGTTTTTCCTGTGTACTTAAAGCGTGAGATTCATCAGCGCGATAGAGCGCCGTTGTTTTTTTTCAATTAGGATTAAAAACACATTAATGAGAAACACTGGGAGGCGAGTCAATCCTATATACACCATCCTGCTGCACTAAACACTCGGTGGTGCACTAAATGTGTTTTAATACTCAACTGAAAATAGATCCCAACAAAGGGGCTAGATAATTGCTTGAGTTACATATGCTAAAGCTACAGTGCCCAGATGTTTTACAGAATTACTTACCATTCAATAAAAAACAAACACTTGAGAGACAGTGGCAAATTGTTTTTTGGTAATTGAATTTGTTGGGAAGAAAAATATAGCTCAGTCTTATCTACCACTTTTAACTTCCCTTTGTTTCTTTGTTCACTCTTCTATTGTGTCTTTGCTTTCACTCTGTTGCTTTTGTCTTTTATTGTGAAGCACTTTATGACATTTCTTCTAAACAAGTGTTATCTGTAATGCTATAAAGGAAACCTGACTTACTTAATACTTCTATGTGTGTGTTTGTACTCTTACCTGACAGTTACACTTGGGTCATGTGTGACTCCACAGGTCATCACAGCTTTAGTTCCTTTGATAACACTCTGGTCCTGTGGGGGGGGTGGTAATCCGGGTGCGAGCTGTGGAGACAAAAATAAGTAAGAAAGGAGAACACAGCCTACAAAATGTCCTTCCTGAGGAGAACAACACCGCAAACACAACAACATGACAAGTAGATTACTCGCACAGAAGAGCGCTTTTGTATCTGAAGGAATGTTTTATTATTAAACAGCATGACCTTGTTTCCCACAGAAATGCCTCTCAATAAAACTCCACACTTTGAGTGATTGTGAAAAGATTGCTTGGGTATTAAAAACAAACATCAGGAATTTGTTGTTTTTTCAAAAAGAAGGCGACCCTGCACACTCACCCAAGACCACGAGGTCAGCGGACGCCTCATCGATGCCCCTGGAGTTGCTCGCCATGCAGGTGTAGGTCCCGGCATCTGAGATGTGTGAGGGGGAGATGAGGAGGCTGCCTGACTCGAGGAGGGTGAACCTGGGCAGCTGGACCGAGCCGCTGGCCAACACACGCTCACCTAAAGTGTGTGAGGAGGAAGACACAAGATAAGATGAAAAGAAGCGACAGTGAAAAAAAGTGAGAAAAAAAACAGACCCAAAAAGTGAAAATATGACATTTTGGAAAAGTGACTAAAAAGAAAGCCGAAACAAAGTCGGGACCTGTCGTAAAAACTGACATAAAATAAAGTCGGAAAAAAGTTCAGAAAATGACAAGTCCAAATAGAGACATCTTTTAACAGAATATGAGGGGGTGGAATCGTGATGAAAAACAAGGACAGCTTTTCCCTGAGCTGCTGTTTAAATTAGGTGTCATTATATTTTGACCAAATACTCGGAGATGGACTTTGTGGGGTTTATTATTGGTGCTTTCAGAACATATTAACAAGTCGAGATTGTTGACAGACAATCACAAGTAATGGGGAAATGTGTGAAAATGAGTCTGGTAAGTTCATTGTTACGCAGCCTTCAAAATCAGGGGAGGAACGTTGTCTATGTTGTGTATATATTTTTTTATCTCTCTGACACTACTTATGTTTGTAGGAAAATAATTAAATCTAAGTTTAATTAAAAAAAACCAGGGGAGGAAAAATGATGTACAATACCACCTAGTTTCAAAGTATATTTGGTATTTGATATGATTTATCCCTATTGATTCATCCTATGTCGCAAGGGAAAAGAGCACTTCAATATTGTGGAAGCGCCTAACATGTAATTAAACTTGAAAACCTAATTAATGGTCATTATGTTGTTAATAGTATAAATACCTTTATCTCGTATAAAGAAAATCATTTACAATTCACCACCCATGCGATAATCTTGTAAACAGCTTCTTTAGCCAATGTTTTAATGTGCACAGCACCTGAGATGTTTGAGGAACCACACCACGATCACATTATAGATTTTTCATATTTCATATTGCTCAGCCCTATCTGGAATGCAAACATGGAATCCAATGAGGTCTTATATGTTAAGTAGTGGCAAAGTGTAGGCCTAGATCACCAACATCATAATCCCTGGGTGTGTGTGCGTGCATGTGTGTAACGGGGACCTTTCTGCCAGGTGATCGCGGGCCTCGGAGCTCCAGAGGTCTCGCAGTGCAGGATGACTGACATGCCGTCGATCACAGTGCTGTCTGAGGGTCCGGCTGTGATATTCGGGGCAATACCTGAGGGGAGAAAAACACACACATACACGGAATAAAAATAAAGCCCAGTGAGAGAAGGTAAGAGGGTTACAGAGGTGAGATATTGAATGTCTATGACAAAGCCCCTCTTCAAAAGGTATTTCCTGTAAGCGCTGCATCTCAGTGTTTAGTGTTTTAGCCTTCACCTCAACTGTCTGCTGCCGGCCTTTTTTTCCTTTTCTTTCACCCACAGAGAGAGCGAATATATGAAGAGGAGGAATGGAAATAACTGAGGGAGAAGCATAGAAACAGAATGCAATATGTAGATAACTAAAATCCCTATTTCTGACATGCAATAAATCAAAGCTTTTATAGGATGACAGGAAACTGTATTGCTCCCAAGAGGACACAGGGAGAAGGGAGTTTGTCACAGGAGTAGTGTTGATCTCAGGACACAGTGAGAAGGACAGAAGGAGGAGACAAGAATGTGTAAGGGAAAAGACGAGATCTGGAGGGAGAAGGAGAGGAAAGTATGTGTCAGTAAGAGAAAGAGAGGAAGAGAGAATATCATGAATTCTGATAATGCGGTGCAGTGAGAAGTGAAGGCTGCAGGAACTGAGACAAAGTGAAGACAATTAGATGTCAGAAACTTGTCAAACAGATGCACAAAAAGAGAAAAATAAGCTGTCATTTTTCTAATCCCAGCAGTGGCATTTGCTTAGGAAAAACACACCTCTACAGATTCATTCAGGTGATGAGAGAAGCTGCAAAAATGGCTTCAAGGTGAGTCATAAGTCATGTGAACTTAATAGTGTAGGCCTAATTGTCAGTTCATATAAGACAGTCCAGAGATGAGTAACTACTGAGAACAAAAGAGAAGTATATATTTCTGAAAAACTAAATAATACATGCGACAGAAGTTTGTTCGCACAGAAAACAACGGTACATTTCTCCAAGGTATGTTCGGTCAATTAGTGCTGACATATCTCTTCACTGATTGGGGTCACATCTCTTATCACCTTCTGCATATGATATGATGTGCGCCAATCACATTGCCATCAACCCACTGTACTTACACTCCTGTCAGACCAAAAATAATATATTCCCTAGGCAACAAGCTGTGTTAGAAGCAAGAGAAGTCAATATCAGTATTACATGTTATCTAAATTTGTATTCCGACGTTGGGAAACCAAGTTGTAGGTCGGGTTGAGCAGAAGTAGTTGTTTTGCTAACAATCATACGTTTTTAGAATTCCTCACAATTTGTTTTTGATCAGATAGCAAAGAGAACCTAAACAAAGTCTGTGAACTGTGGCCCTCTTAAGTTAAAGTGGACCTATTATGCTACCTATACCATACAAAACATGTCTGTGAAGTCTTTTGCTTAAAATACCAAACGGATCACCCATTGTAGCCGTGCCTCATACTGCTCATACCCCTCTTTTGCAACCCTGTTAGAGAAGCTCGGATTTTGGGTCCTTAGCTTGAAAAAAAAAAGAGGAGGCGGAGCTAATGCCTGATCAGAATTCTACCGGAGATACATTTAAATTCTGCTGTGATAAAACGCCATCCTGTTCTAAACCACATCAAGGATTATTTCTGAAACAGTATGGAGCTCAAATGCTTTTTCTTTTGCGGGTTTATCACAAGGTGAGTTCCTTTTTTATTTCCTGCTTTTTAAACACATGCTCTCCAGTACAGGTTAGCTCTGAGTGTTAGCGAGGCTTGCTAATGTAAACAAAGACGAGATTACGCCCAAAACACGTCAGGCATTGTTTCTGATAGCAACTTTCTGTGGGTCCGCCGCCGATTTGACGTCATGTAGGCAGCAAATCTGTATCCGCTCGTTGTACCCCCGTTTTTAAAAGATTTGGGTACGAAGGAAAAGAGAGTGTTTTATTTCCTGATGCTGCGTGAGTTCCCCAACACACCGGGGACACATATTTATGTATAAAATACATCAAAAAGTGCATTTTGCATGATAGGTCCCCTTTAATTTATTTTTGATGACCTCCACTTGAGTGCTGTTATGTGTGGTTGCTTGCACATACATCTGTGAAAAACGTTGTATAATGTTTATACTTTGTGCTGCAAATCCAAATTAAAGATTCAAATAGATTGTTTTATAGTAATTATTAAGTAGAAACAATAAGTCAAAGTGTCTGTGAGGCTTTACAAAACTTGTAGCATAAAGGCTAATGGGAATGTCATTACTTTGAAGGTTTTTGATGTAACCTGATAATGGGTAAGGGGACCATGAATGTCAAGGCAATCCTTCTGATAGTGTTTGAGATTATTCAATGTAGAACAAAGGGATGAACCCACCAAGCAGCTAGCTCCTGAAAACTAATATATTGCTTGACCTCTTTGGGGCAAAAAAAGTCGCCCTTTTTCTAAATTGTGATGAAAAAGAACATTGTGTAATCTTCAGTTATTTCTCGAGGAAGAAATTGCAGGAGAATTCCATATAAAGCACTAAATTGCTGCTACTCTTCTCCTTACAGGTTGGAATTGCTTTTCTATTTTTGTAAAGCAATTACAATTGGTATTTTTTTCTGATTTTGACAAGGGCTGTATGAGAGCTGTGTAACGTTTTAACATTGTTCTGTATTAAAAAGGGTTTATTCAGAGTTTTAATAAAACACATTGGACTTTAATTGCAGTAATTGTCTGAAAATCTGCTTCAGCACTTACTGGTGACAGCGAGGTAGGTGTTGGTCTGAACTTCTCCTGCCAAGTTCCTGGCGAAGCACTGGAACATCCCGGTGTCGTCTGGCAGGAGGCCGTTGACCTGAAGGCTGCCCCCCACCAGCACTCTGTACCTGGGCATCTTCACGGGGTTGATGGGAAAAGCATCCTTGTACCACACAATGTCTGGCTGGGGGACTCCTGCAGAGCATGAGTAAGGGTGGGGATTAGAAGAAGGCATTCTTTGTTAAACCCGCTATGGGAAATTCAGGTTGCAGTAGATACACATGTACTGTTTAAATGGACAAATGCACACATTATTATATTATATTATATATATATATATATATATATATATATATATATATATATATATATATTATATTATATTATATTATATTATTATTATTATTATTATCACATTATTGTGGTAAAATGCACCCATATGCTCACCTCGTGCCTGACAGGGAATGTCCACCACCTTTTCCATCTCAGCTGTGATGTGCTTCTCTGGTTCCTTGATAAACTGCGGTGGTTCTGAGGGAATGGAAGAAGAAAGGATGACAAATGAATTAAAAAAAATCATAAGAAATATTGTGAACCAGCAGCTGAAATCCTCACAGCGTGAAACAGTGCTTTAGGGATACTGTGTGAAGTTTAAAACAAATAACTGCTATATTGCACTGCACTTTTTTGTCAAATGTATTGCTCACGGGGCTACTACTCAGCCGAAGATAATGTGATTATACAGTAGTTTGATGTCGGAAATCAATTATAGCTATATCATAATGGTTTTAAATGTATCATTCAAACTCATGGGGAGAGGGACGGCTGTTAGCAGTTTCAAGGGAAAGGTTCACCACACCTTGTCCTTTGAATCACGTTACAACCTTGAAAACATCAAAGTGCTTCAGTGAGATGGAAGGAAAGTGACTCAAGCAATGCTATTAAACAGTTTCTTGAGGCCAACCATTAGCTTTCTGCCTTTTTAATCAATACCACTCTCGCCTCACTTTCGTCACGACTTTACCGCTGCAGCTTTGCCAGATTCATATCGTGAGACTTGTAATATTTATATCAATTTCATAGCAGCTCGTTCTTTTGAACTGGCAAACCTTAATGCAGCGTTTACGCCCACACATTTGTCTGATGTATGTGGCCAAATGGAGATGCACTGTTTTCTTCCCATTTAAGTTGTCAGGCTGATATGAAAGCACACACAGTAATTATGCATTATGACTAATCACATAATTCTCCCTTCACCGTGTCCACAGAAAAAAGGTCGGGGGATATAATTATAATGAACCTTAAGGACAACAGCAGAGAATGGAAAGACTAACATTGAGAACATGTTACATAATAAAAGGCACTTTACGAAATGCAAAACAACAAACATTCAAAAGCGCTGCAAGTACAAAAATGGAAAAGGCATAAAGACACGATCCAGACATAACAGCGGAAAAATATACTGGAACTTTTCCCACAAGGATCATCTGGATGTGGAAGTGGACTGCGTACTTAAATGGGCCCAATACGCTCATTTACAGGTTCATTTTTGTATTTTGTGCCTCTACTGTGAACTGCTTACATTATTTAATGTTCAAGAAGTGCTTTATTTTTCTCTTTATATTTACTGCCTGTGTGCTGCAGCACCTCTTCTCACCCTCTGTCCAAAACCAGAGCCCAGTCTGCTCTGATTGGTTAGCTGGCTGTGTTATGATTCATCAACTGCTTAGAGCTGTCCCGCCCCTTAGACTATCAAGTACAATGTGTTGGAGCGCGAGCCAAAAGAAGCGCAAGTTTTACATAGCAATGTCACTATGTTTAGGAAAAATAGATAAAAGTCCAATAGAGGCTTTTCAAGCAGGGGGGAGTATGAGAGAGAAATTCATATATTTTAGCCTTTGCAGACCATTGACATGCACAAGAACTAATAAAACAGACTGCACGTTACACACATGTTTGTGTTTTTGTTCCCACAGAACACTAAGAATAGTACTTGCAATGCACTCTAATTAAACCTGGTGACAGGTAGACATTTCAATTAATATGCTGATTTCATTATACTAAAGCGTTAAAGTGTCAACACATTTAATTGGAAAATATTGTCACCTGCAAATGTGCATGTTGAAGACAAGGTGTCAACAGTATTGTTACAAGTGGTGAAAACACAATAATATTTTAAATAATCATTCTTACCCAGAACATGCAGATAAGCCCCGCCGCTGACTGAAGGCACGCTGCTGCTGCGGAGGATGGCCTCGCACTCGTAGAAGCCGGCGTCGCCCACCAGGGGGTTGATGATGGTCAGCTGGCGGTTGAAGTCGCTCAAACCGCTCGTCACCAACACGCCGTTCTTACGCCACGTGATACTCAGCTTGATGAGAGGCCTACAGAGCGAAGCAGAGTTTCATACGTCTTCTATGAGCTCACTGAGAATGTATTTTCTTGTGCTTGAGGATAAATGATTCTGAGTCTGCAACACTGATCCAATGTGGCACGTAAAAACTGACTATTTCATGAATCAAGGGATGTTGTTAGTGAAGCACTGGGCTTTCATTCTGCATATTACAAGAAACAAGAGCACTTGAGTCTGCAAAAACTGGCGAAAAAAGTTGCATTTTTTACTACATAGAATACTAAACTTTCTTGGGGAAAGAAAATCATGACAGAATTTGATCAAATATTTCCTTAGATACACATTTGTGCTGTGCAGTGTAAGTATGAATTAGACACTATTATCTATTTGATCATCTAACTTTTGTCATTTACAAAATTGAAACATACCTCGAGTGTAGACAGGGAATTTTCATCCAAATAAAAAAAAGGAGTACAAATGGTCCCTCTACTTGTCTTCTAATTAAAAGTCTAGTCTACTTTTTGTATTTGCTTGAGTTTCATGGCATCAGTCTTGAAACAACAATGGTGCTCACATAAAAAAACCTATTAAGAAATCACTTTCAAGAATCAACGTTCCTGTTGCTATTGATGAGTCACAGAAAATGCTCAGAGGAACTACATTTTTACGGAAATACAGTCCCTATGAAACCCCCTGCTCTGTATTACCCTCAGTGCAGTGACCCTTTAACAGACTGCTCTTCAGTATGACCCTGCAGTTCCAGCATGTTTACCTGGCGTTGGCAACACACTCCATGGTGACCTCGGAGGTGCCTGTGACCACGCTAGTGTTCCTTGGAGGGATGATGATGGTGGGGGCAATGGGGTCTGCTGGACCTCCTACATCTACACAGACATAACAACAAAAACACAGAGACACGGAGAGGTTAAGCACAGAGCAGTGATCTGGATAGATAAATAGATTTGTTTATAACAGACAGAATGCGCTCATTTCCACCCAGTGCTCTGGGGGTGTTCACCAACGTGACATATTGGAAGTGACCAGTGCACACAGTGTATCCGAGTCCTGAGAGATGGGTGGAATATGACGAGGCAGTGCACTGACTGTGTATAATAAGATGTCTGCTGGAGAACCAGAAACAGGGATAGAAAAATACTGCCTGACAAACCCAAAGCTGAAGGGGTGAATAGGCTGTCTTGTGTATAAAATTCTGCATTTGAAAACTAGTTTATGCCGCTGTGTTTGCCATCGTGTGTGTGTTGTGCGCATCAGAGACAGACAGCCCATGGCAGCGAGTGCACAGTGTGTACGTGTGCTGCTTGAGATGTGTCATGTCTGTGATAAACTCACACTGATCCGTCAATCCCATCATGCCCTGGGTGTGTGCTCAGGGCTGCACATGTCAGTTGGAACTACGGGGTCTGTCAAAGCTCAATCTAACTGATCTCGGGTCATCAGACACTGTAAACAGGCCATGTGTGGCGCGCGCACACGCACACACACACACACACACACACACACACACACACACACACACACACACACACACACACACACACACACACACACACACACACACACACACACACACACACACACACACACACACACACACACACACCTTTAACCAGGCGTTTTCAAACTTTTGGGGACATTGAGCCCTTACATGGAAAAACATTTTCCAAGGAACCCCTATTGATAGTTTAGTTTATGTATTTATTTAAACAAAGACCATGCATACAAATACATTAATCTAAGACGTTTTATTCTAGATTGTAACTAATAGCTCATTTCCATCTGCAGTCCTATTACATGTAATGTAAGTAAGCATATGTTTGCTAACAGATGCCTTCAATTTAAATGATGTAATCATCACCTTTACACTTTTAAACCAATCAGGTCCATTTATTCAAATCATTGGCAAGGTTGGTTGCTAGTCACCAGGAAAACATTGCTAATATTTCAACTGGACAAACCACAGTTCCTTAAATGTGTTGAACACTTAAAATAATAGTTCAACAACTTGACTTGCAGGATTTTTTTACTTCAACTTGAGTATGGAAAATGTAACACGAGCAATATTGGTGTCTTCAGAATTCTCCTTGACCTCCGCCCTCGCAAGCACTGCCGGAGCCAGGAAGTCTCCCGGGAGATAACTGTCAGAGGTGTCGCTGCAGGAACAGCTGCTGAGGCAGATACTGACGGATACACCTGCACATACACTCACTTAACACACACAACTCTCAGTACTGGCTCTATCATTGTGTGTGGGTGTTCATTCAAGTGTCTATATGTGGAGCATGCGTGTAATGTTTATATACAAATGCATGGCATGATTCCCTGAGACCTGCCAAGTCGAGACCTCCCGCTAGGCTCTTGATCTTACCTGAATCAGTGTGTGTGTTTCCGTGTGTGTACTAGCACTAGTATAATCAACCCTGTCACTGTTCTCCATGCGTACCACAGGCTATTTCTGTTCCCTTGTGTTGTCAACTGTAATATCTTACCCTCGCCCTCCTCATTCACTTCCACACTGAACTCCAGTCTACCATGTCATGAGATGCTGTCTGATAGCTTTCCTCTTATAATTCACTCTGCTGAGCTTCAGCCAACCAAATTAATTTGTTTGAGTTTGATTTGTGTATCTTGTGTTTTGTTGTTGTTGTGGCAGCTGAGGATGCTGGTGAATATTAAGAACTACTTGGCAGTAGAACAGTCTGTCTTTGTCCCTGTCCCCGCAGCTCTCTCTTCCTGAGTGCGTACATCTGCAATAACGTGTGAATTTGGCTACAGATACACTTCAGTGCAATGAAATGAAAACATATCAAAATGGTGGAGCTTCTTGGATGTCGCCGGGGTTTCAAAGTGGTGATACCAAATATAAAGCAAGGGGTAAGTAAGAGAACAATATATAATTACAATTAAAATACCTACATTCAAAGTATAATCAGCAGAATATACTTATACTCAAGTATACGTTCACCCTCTGTCTGGAATGATAGGTTAGCTGGCTGGCTCTGCTGTAATTTGTCAACCGAGATGTCCCACCCATTACCTTGTCACGTACAACAGTGTTTCCCACAGATCTGAAATATGCTTGGGCGGGTGGTGGCAGCGGGCGGGGGGGGGGGTGCGCAAAAAAAAAAAAAAAAGTTTTCATTTTGTATAATCATTTTGCGTAAAGATGGCACTCAAGGGCACACTAGTGGTGGTGTTCCTGGCGGGATTTGAACTCACAGCCTTCCGATCTTCAGCCCACCTCACTATCCATTAGATCAATCACTACCCTCTCAAATGGAAATATGTGTTTACATAAATGGTGACCACACCGTTTGAGACCCACTGAGAACTTAGACTAAGTTAACTATCTAAACACTCAGAGAGTCCTTTACCTCACCTGAGCTGAGGTTATCCCGAGCTTGAATGACACACAGAGACCAATCAAGGGCTTTGATTTATGATCTCTATGACAGTGGCCATGTTGGCAGGCCACATCATGTAGACAGCCAGTCACCCTGTGTGAGGCAGGCCACTTAACGAGGCGAGATCAGAGCAAGGGAGCGAGGGATCATTGTCCACAAGTTAATCGATTGCAGATGGTGGTCACGGACGAATAAAAAAAAAAAAAAAAAAAAAAAAACTTATACAAAAAAAAAAAGAAAGAAAAAAAGATGGGTCGCGAAATATACTTGGGCGGCCGTTAATATACCTGGGCGGCCCGCCCAAGTATAGTCTATGTGTGGGAAACCCTGTACAATGTGTTGAAGCGCTAGTGTTATGTAGTGATGTCCCTTTGATACGAAAGTAAACAAAGGAGGCGTTTCAGGCAGGTAGGAGAGAAACTCCCTCTGGAGAGAACTTTGGGATTCAAGCCTTTGCAGACCATTTACATGCACACAAACTTATATTACACACTACAGGAGAAGGAAAACCCCAAGCAGTAAAGGGCCCCAAAAGTAAAAATACTCAATTCGCATTATGGCCCATGAGTTATGATATACAGCATATTATATATATCTTTCAGGGAAGGGAACGTGCATTTGTTCCAGTAATGAACACATTTTAGGGATTGTACTTTTAGTGTCACACTATTTAATAGTCTTGTTAATAAGGAAGTATTGTACTTTTTATTCCACTACTTTTATTTGTACTAGTTACATTATACCAATTTCAAATTCAGGAAACGTGATTAGGAAATAAGAAGCAACGTTGTACATTAATTACAGTACGTGAGGAGGGGCAGAATGTTCTTATTAGCAAGATCTTACAGTGGAACCTCACTTCTACCAGTCGTGGCATAATGAGCTGATTACAGTGTGTGTGTAAAAAGTGTGTGATTACTCACTCTCTACTGATAAGGTGATGGGCTGGCTGGTCTTGTTCTCTCCGTTCTTGTCATTTACAGCTTGTACGTAGTAGCGCCCGGCGTCTGGTGCCACTGTAGACAGAATAACCAGCGTGTTGTCCAGAGTGATGGCACTGTGGAGGAACAAGAACTATTTAAGAAACTGTTTTCAAGACATATTGACTATAGAATACAGTGGGGAGGAAACAGTAAGTCAAGACAGGAGTAAGGACTCCAGTACGACTGACAATTTATGATAATAAAGTTTCACGCAAAAGAAGAAACAGTACATTCAACCATCAAGAGGTAGCTTTTGACGGCCTAATGATGGCTAATATGTGAGCCCACACTTGATCCCACGGCCCAAAAGGGCATTAACCATTTTAACATTTTAATTACATTGTTCAAGCTGCATTAGTTATATCGATTTACAATGTGTACACAGTGTAGCTGCTGACTTAGCAAGAGAGAAATATTGACAACCTCCCTTGTTCATACTTCTCATGGTCCGCTCTGAAATATGATAGCTCTGCGTAATAACCCGGGGCTTTTAATTGGCTATTTGTAACCCTCAGCCTCCTCTCGGCCTGCGTTTTGGCAGCCGACTACTTTTGGCAAGAAACAATAGCGTCCTCCTTGTCGTCCGCTGAAATGATGCCTGAATAAATAAACACTGATCAATTTCTCAGCCAGCGTTCTATAGGGACTAATACCTGGTGTCTTGTTGTCTCTATCAAGTCCTCTCTTTGACTTTCCCTCGGCAACGTAGCAAGAGACAAATGTTCCCCCCTCTCCTTTGCCGCCTCGTGTTACAGCCCCCTGACTGTGAACAATCAATATTTTCTTATTATCTGTGCCTGTTCAACAATCTGGAGGTAGATAGTCCGTTCCAAGCGGGTGCCCTCCCCCACATACATATTTTTCTCTGGCCTTATCCCTCCACCTTACGCCCCCTCCTATCTTCCATCCATTTCTCCAGATGCTGAATGTGGTCAGGTGAGGAAGTGACATCCTTTCTGGCCTTTCCTGAACCAGATTTAGGATAAAAACTCATCAGCAAAGCAAAAAAAATGAATTCTAAACAACATATGCACATTTGTGACACACCTGCAAACACAGTTACACACAAGTACAAATACCTCCCATCAGGAAGCTTGGTCTTGAGAAAAATACTTTTGTCAGAGAAGCAAATCAATAGCATTCAAATGGTTGTGGCTCTGGCTCCTAAACCTATATTATACTCAGTTTGATTTCTCTCTTTGACGTTTCCAGAGCTATTGGCAGCTTAAAACCGGTAATAACAGCTATCTTAGTAGTCAATAACACACAAAAAGTCTTTGATCCCCTGAGAGAAATGGCTTTTTTCCATAAGAGAACTGTAATTCTCTCTGCGTGTTGCACACAAGTGTGAAAATGCTAACCCCTGTTACATGTAAGCCATGATCCTTTCAAAGGTGATGACCTCCTCTTTCTCACGTCCTCCAATCTAACACTCCACTTCTCCATCCACTTGTTCCTCCATCCTGACCTTCATCTCATCAGCGGTGGATCTAAGTACCTGCTGTGCCTTAAGGTAGCAAGAGAGCTGATGAGGAGAAAAAGATACATCGGGAGAAAAAAGGCCTAGAAAAATATATACAGTGTGCACACATCAAATAAAAAAGGCTTTCTATGCTGCTTACCTGCGCTCTTAGCGTTTACAGTATTATGACTTCATCCAAACATATTTCCCAGAGCAGCCACAGTCACTGGGTTCACGTTTGGATTTCCTGTGCATGCTGTGGCTGAAAACAGTCTTTCTAAAAGGGACTGACAGGCCTCAATGGCTGCAGCTTATGATCTCCGGTAAATATTTAATGCTAGCTTGCTGGAGCAGTGACATCCTGGACGCACAGTCATGAATTATGGATCCCTTCTGGGATATGGGAAGAACGGAAGTGTCCAAAGCGCTGACTGAATCCCAGGCGACATCCCAGGACACAATCTGGAGATTAACTTCTTTACCTGTCGCTTATAAACTCCTGAAGATGAATATACAGGGTAGTGCTGCTCAGTTATAGGAGGCAGAGTTGTATGTGATCTACAGCAGGCATCCCACTCTCTGTGATACTGATACCGTATGATGATCTTAGAAGCTTCATTTTTCTATATTTTTCTTCCACAAAGCCCTAAACACGGCATCCAAGCACCTGAGAAAAAACGAATATTTTACCATCATACAGAGCCCTGATTTCGTCAATAATAACCAGAGCGTAGGAGGCAGTTTTCCCCTGAATGCTAGATTTTAATGTGCTTCCCTGTTGAGTATTTTCTCCCTTCAGCCTGTAATCAGGGCTGCTGTGGGGGTCACAGAAGACTTTGTTTTGCAGCGTGTTCAGCGGGACTAACCGCTCCCCGGCTCACCAGTCCTGGGGGATCAAAGACCACATGATGCAGGATGAAATTAAAAGTAAGCCAATTATCCTGAATGGCTTTACATGTATATCAAGGGAGCGGGAAGAGGGAGATAAGCCTTTGGTTAAAAGGAGGTAATGGATTTCTTTTTGACCAGCTTCTTGAAGTAATTTCTTGTTTTGGTTGCTTATTTTTTTCATCTATCTCATTAACTCGCTCAATGCATTTTGGTCATCCTTATTAAAGTCCCCAGCATCTCGGCGGTGTGTGAGCAGCTGTCTGAGGCGGAATGTAACAATGGCTTACCACGTATCCGGCACGGTGCGGGGATTTAACAAACCACGGAGCGGAGAAATTTGGACAAATCAGATATGTGTGAACATGCCTCTGTCTGGTCTTTATGTTTATTCCTGCATCTTTGAACACTTTCTCTTTTTTATTCCAACCCAATTTCCTTTTCCATTATTATTCTCCAGAATGCGCTGCAGTCCACAGGAGAGCCTGACAGGCTGGACAGCTGCTCAGAAACATCTTGGCCAACTGTGCAGCTTCATGCCCAATCTCAGTTTAGCTTGCAGCTCGAAGCAGCACCGTCTCATATGCAATTACTTTCTTGTGGCTCAATTTATTTATATTTAGCGTCAAGGGTGGATTTTCAATGGCTGCCAGCCTGATAATGATTCCCTAGCACTTTAATCAATAATGATGATGAGGATTTATGTTTGATTGAAATAGAGAGATAGGAGTATAAATGTTTGATTTGCCACCGGGTGCTTCCCTTTTCCTAATTTTCATTATTACTAATACATTACATAACAAGGAAATTAAATAAACAATGAGGCATGGATGCTCTCTTTATTTAAGGACACGTCGTCCCTGGACTCTACATTTTGAACAAGTATCTTAAGAGCAATATCTCTGTATCTAGTTCATCCGCAGTGTGCATATCTTATCGTGTTAATCCAGTACCGACACAGTCTGACAGAGCTGTGCCTGTTCTAACACCACACACACACACACACACACACACACACGCTTGGGAGTGTGTTGGCATCTGTCGTGGCTGTCCCTCTCCGCCGGGCCGTGAGGGAGCTCACCTCGCTCCACAGCCTCAGACCTCCATTACATGCAGACACATGGCCCCAGTCGACTGATGGGCTCCCCCAGGAAGGAGAGAGGGAGGTTGACGGGATCAAGCAGCTCACATGGCTGGCTAAAGTATGAGTCAAAGCACAGCCAGTAAGTAGATGAATGCTAAAGAAAAGCTGGAGAGAGCCAGAAGAGTGACAAGAAGCAGCAGGCTGCCAGCCCTACTGCTCAAGACCTGTGATGAAAAAGCCACAGCTCCTGGGTTGGAGAGGTAGAGGAGAGACGGGAATAGTTAAGAGAGTGTTGCTCATAAGAAAAAAGCCACTTGTTTTCTCACCAGGGGCATGCACTGGAGATTTGTGGCTCACAGTTGGCTCTCTCATACCCTATTGCTCGCAGTTGGTTGAGTGTTCAGAAAACTGTGAAGAAAGAATGAATTTCCCCGAATACCCCTACAAGGTCAAATGGTGACATCAAAATTGACTCGAGGCCATTTCTGATCAGCCTTGACCTGCAGAATAACAAGTGTTGACATAATAAATAACAAGCTATTTGATAATCCATCCTGTAAATCCAATCTATCTTCACTAGAGCTCAAAAGATTCAATGAACAATCGATAAGCCGATGGAAAGAAAACTGAACGGCAATTATTTGATAATCAATTCATATTTGGAGGTAATTGAACAAGAAAAGTAATCATTTGGTTGTTGCAGCTCAACAGTGTGAGGGTGCTGATTTTACATCATAAATAGTACATTTTGGGGATTTGGAGTAGTGTCCGTAAAAAATCATGACATTTTATTGAATCGATTGTATTGATTTCTGGTTTGCCTGTTAGATATATGAATTTACACCAGTTTACCTTTTTTTTTGCAGTAATATTATTTTTAATCAAAGGGATTTTTTTATGCAGAAACCAAATTATCAGAAGATTAGCTTTTCTGCTATCATTGCATATTTAATATCTTTGCATTTTTTTACTGTTGGTTGGACAAAACAAGCTATTTCAAAATATGTCCTTGGGCCTGCAATGGATTTACCAAATAAATAAACAAAAAGTGAATCAATAATTAATTTAATCCTGCAGTCATGTGCATGATGCGGTGTTTTGTTCTTGGTTGGAGCTGCTTCTTCTTGACATCTCTTCCCTTTTGACCTGAGGATTGTTGGGTTCATGACTAATGGTGGGCAGTTGGTTTCATGGAAATGCAGAGAAAGGGCCCGGCTATTCACTGGCCCTCGTGACTAATGGGGAATCTATAGCAGACTGACAGGGCCCGAACATCACAGGCAGGGGCCATTAATTGATCAGTAGCTACAGCAGATTACTCGGGGGGATTGCAATGTGCGTGTGTCGGGGGTGTCCTCCCACTGACTCCTGCAGGTCAGCCTCCTCTGTGTTCTGTCTTAACGGACACCTCTACAAGGTTGTTTTCGGTGTAATGCAGATAAATCCATGCCAAGGTGTCAATGGAAAGTATTTGTGAGAGAAAACCAGGTAGCTGGCAGTAAGTTGTTGTCAGTGGAGAAATAGTGAGAGGACAGGTTTTTGCTATATCCAGCAGACGACTCACCTTAGCCAGCAGCGCCGCAATTCCCGGCCAAAGTGTTTACTAAAGGAGCCTCTGATTATACACCACATTAAGTCTCCGAAATAACACAACAAATCGCGACAGGTGAATGGAAAAGAGCCCGCCAAATGCATTCCCATTCAGTGAGGGAAGAATAATGACTGTTGATGCTAAATAAGCTCCTTCTCTCCTTGTATCTTGCCCTACATCGCAACACAACAAAGACGTGAGAACCAAGGGCTGCTACACCAACGCCCGGCTGCATTTTTAAGCATTGTGTCAACTTTTTTTGAGCGTGGACAGCAGAGACAAACACTGCAATAAGTGAATCCGTACGTGTATGGGTGTGCTGTGAGAGACGGCGCAGGAGTCTTCGCCAAAGGGCAACAGCTGCAGAGGCCACATGGCAAAGAGAGAGCAGTCACAGAGTCACAGTGAGACGCCGCTTTGCCAGGGGGAAACTGGCAGCAGGGAAGCAAAAATGCAGCATTCAGTAAGTTTCCGTGGGTTTCCTTTACACATGCAGGGTTTGGATGGTGTGCTGGGTTCACACCATGCTAAGTATGCAGTTATTGTGGCTCCCGTGAACTTCGCTACACTTTGTTTTTAATTGTTTTCTTTTATGACGGAAACACTTGTCAAAAGCGGTTGAGTGAAGCGTGGGATTGGACAAAGTGCAGCGGACCCTGAAACAATTGCCGCCCGGGGCATCTTCCGTCCACCCTGCAGGACCAAACGGCACCGCGTGTGGAGTGACCGCCCCAGGGTGAAAGCCAAGACAAACGCTAAGCTAGAATTAAGGCTCTTGCCTGATGTCACGGTTGAAAAAATGCTCAGGCTAACCCAGAGAACTTTCAGAGACGTGGTTTCATCATGGCATCAAGGATCAAGCTGCACTTTACAGAGGACTCCAGTGGATCAATGATGCTTGGTGCGCAGACATCAGAGTTGATTGACAGTTTCCAAATATGTTATGATGGAGATGCCGGCCATATCATATGGTCAGAGAATGCATATGCAATGTTTCCTTTGCTGCTACATTAATCCTCATTCAAATTCAACGCATGCACTACAGGAATGCATGCGTCATTGCGTTTTGTATTGTGTTAGACTAGACTGCATTTTGTTGACGATACATTATCCATGAAGCCATGTATGAGTAGCATCCTTGATCTTGAAGTGCTAGGACAATGTTAACAAGCTGATGTACAGCAGGCATAATGTATTTAATCATCCCAATCTTTTTTCTAGCATTTTGGTAGTTTTCCACTACTGATAATGAGATGGAAAAACGTCATTAACTTCAAGTTGTGGCAAGCAGAAACTAAAATGTGTTCATTCTTCAGTATTATTAGTAGAGAGGTCTTTACATTTTGCATACATGAATTTGATACTTAAATTAAATTAACAAAATCAAACCATATTCCAGTATTTTGCTAATGTTGGCAGCTCCAATATGACCTATTACATCGTGATGAGATAGCTTGAGATCTGAGACCCAGTTAACTAAACAACAGTTCTTTCAATCCGCCATAAAACTTGACTTGTTTAATATCAAAGCTCCTGAAACCATTCCACAACAGTAAAAGCAGTAGTTGCAACCCCTCCTACTGTGTGATGCAATTTGAAAAAGCAACTTACAACGTGTCCACGCAGTGAGGGCCAACTGATCACAAAGTAAATGTAAACTCAACGTGACAAATACTGTAGTTCAAGTACAGCAGCCTGCAGAGGTAGCACAGAGTTATTCTGGGTCTGGCTGTTTTTGCATCTCTCATCTATTGCTGAGGTGTGATTAAGCAGAGCACGGATAGAAGAAGCTAGAAGAACTCCTGGAGAGCCTTTAAATTAAAGTTATAACACCTGAGGAGGGATAGCAGGAGCAGGGGACGATGATGAGGAGAGAGAAAAGGGAATACAAAGAGTCAAATCGGTTGTGGTGCATGGCATCTTTTTTCGAATAATGTATCTCTCTCTTTACTGCAATTCTGGCACACATCTTTGAAATATAACTACCAGCCTTTCACAGATGATTGGTAGAATACATAGGGGTCATGTGACGATGTTTAGAGAGACCAAACAGCTGGAGCTGACTCTTGAGAGCACCAGGCCTTGGAAAGAGCCTTTGTCAAGGTAACAACTGTGTTTGGGCGCAGAACAATCTCTTTGGTGCCCCCTCCGTCTCCTCCACCAGTGGGACTTTGATGTTGCTGCAGAGTTAACGCTTGTGGCACGAATCAAATTCAATTAAATGACTTTCAATAAAAAGAGACTGCCTGTTATCAACGGTTCTCATTTGCACACAGTGACCTTGGTGGTGCGTGCAACATTAGCATTCTCAGAGCTAGAGGGTAGGTAGCGAGGATGAAGAGAAGCAAAGTACACACAGTGGGTGGCCGATAATGGAGACAAAAAGAGTGAGAAGAGAGAGAGACATACACAGAACATTATATAAGGAGACATGAAGGGAGAGAGAGAAGAAGGAGCTGAATGAGCGAAATGTGAAACCAATAAGGAGTTGGACGATTATTTGACGCACGCCTTCTCACTAAAACTGTCGACAAAGTGTGATCCTTCTTCAAACTTCCATAACAATAATCTCTTCAAATGCCTAATTAGTAAACACATTGAGCTGCAGGCGTCACTGCTGTTTGACCTTTTTCCGAATAACTTCTCAAAAGTAATCCAGATTTCCACAACAACACGGAACAAAATGGCTCTGCAGATCCACGGCCATCTGCAGCCTTCAGCCTCTCAGTCAGTCTGGGTGTTTGTCTCATTGTCATTCTAGGTCAGGGTATGGTTACTGATGGTAAAGAGCAGATAAGAAAGATTCACTCTAACCAAGGGCAAGGTCACCTCCCACTGCGAGGAAATGCAGATGTGATGACACAGGGATAAGTGTTTTTATAACATGGTCGCATGTCCAAGACGTATTCTTATACAAACACGCAGAGATTTCTACTCTACCAAAAAAATGAATAACAGAAAGAGAAATACCACTACTACTTTGCCTAATGGGATCTATATTATCAATACGGATTTCCAAGTCTATGTACAGGTCTTAGGAGTACTACTGCGTATGCGAATACAAATGGTATTAGTGGCTCCAGACCCGAGTGATCTGCGGGAAATAAAATAAAAACCTGCGGGTGTGCAATTAGACAGAAGTGAGATAACCAGACCTCTGAAGCACGCTTATCATCCTCAGGGCTACATCAGCTGCTACTAGAGATACAACCAGATCTTCAAACGCACCATGGGTGGTAGAGTTGGACTGTTGGTAATGTAGGAGATAGAAAAAGGAAATAAGGATGTGTGGAATCAAGAAGATGATGTGTTTTACCCGATGTTGTGAGTCCAACTAAATGAATTGAGTGCCTCCTTAATAACACATAAGCCTGAATGTGCTATATAGATAAGTACAATGAGTATTTGTTTTCCATGTTTCTTAAAATGGAGCATACAAGATCAAATCCCATGTAACTAAAGTACCAACATTGGCCCATGCCCCCATATTTGGACTCTCTTTCAGACAGAGAACACCTCTTTCCCGATTCACCTCTTTATTTACTGACCCCAGAATCCCCAAATGAAGAGAGACAGAGACACAGATGAGCTGAAATAAAAGTGGTGGGTATAGGTTTTCTTTTCAAATAAAAAAGAGAATCAAAAGGTACGATTCTATTTCACACAGTGTCAATACTGCTTTGGTCTTGGCAGGAGAAATTCAAACTCTCCTTTAGCACAAAAGGTAGCGAGATGAATGATAAAACACAGGCGGGAACAGACCCTATCAAACTAAAGCAATCAAAGACCTCACAGAACAAACAAGGCACAAAGAAGTGCGTAGACAGCATCAAATGAAAAAATCAAAGTAAAGCAAACACATGAAACCAGGGGAAGAAGAAAACAAGTCTGAACAAATAAATACAAGGACTTACATGCGACTGCTGGGTGGAATCTTACGCCCATCTCTGAACCAGGTGACTTGGGGCTGGGGGAAGCTGCGAATGCGCGGCGCATGGACCACCGCACCCTCTCCCTGGGAGATGGATTGGGAGCGTTCCTCCTCCTCAAAACTGCCCATAACTACGGGAAAACACAGGAGAGAGTTAGAAACAAGGAAGAGTTCAGTTAAGTCACAGGCACAAATCTCCCTTTTTCCTTAAATCGGACTTTTGGTGCCCCACAGAGCTTTTGCCATCTGCTTTCTGTTGTGAAACATTACATTAATGGACAGCAGTGTGGTTGCCATGGTTTCCACAGTACATCAAGAAAGGCTGGAAGGAACCAAGATGTAATGACTCACACAGGGACACAGAGGGGACGCTAAATTGACTCATATTCCGTATCCTCCTGTGTGGATGCATCAAGGGCAATCAATCTTAATCGCACTCTAAATGTGTGCATTACTCAACATAGAAGATGACCAGCGCTGCCGCTATTCTATTATCCCCTAATACATTTCATTTGTGACAGCGGCTTTATTCCTCCCCTGCCTCATTATATCTTCAAAGCTAAAAAATACTGCGCTAATATTCCTGCTCCATGCTTGGCCTGTTCCTGAGTGAGATATAGGTTGGGAATGTTTGATGGATTTCACGTCCATCAGCCTTAACTTCAATTTGACTTTCTATCTCAGCTGTGCAATTCTCTGATAAAACCATATTGGCTGATACTGCCTGTAATTCTTCCAAACACAACAGAAGCATGCATTTCTCGATGGTTGGAAAGATTGTTTTATTTCCGATGCGAGTAAAGGATCCTATTTTTGCTCTTCAATAAAGAAAACAATCATTTGAATGTAACATCAAACACTCAATTAAGTTCAAACACAGTTTAGAAATAATAATATTGTTGTGAAACGCACGGATCAAGGTATGGGGCTTTAAACTGGGGATGTTAGAGTGGTTGTGCATCGATAGCAATCTTATTTTTCTCTCTCGCGCCGCTCTCTTTCAAAGAGAATGAAAAAAGGTAATCTGGATTTGCGCTGGAGCTCTGATACTTAGCTTAAATGAAAATCTAGGAAGTGTGCAAATCCCCTGACTTTGATCTGCAGTTTCTGCGATGTGATGTCCTCCTCCCCTCCCCTAAACTGTAATGCCTGGGCATGTTTTCCTTTCTCAGGAGGTGTGTCTCCGCAATCCTAATTGTGCTGCTTCAATGGAAAAGCTTGCAAAAGAGATCTCTCCATGTCTCCCATTCTTCTCTGTTTCTCTTTCCCTCCCTCCCCTGTCTGTCTCATCCGTTTCTTCTGCAGGTGTCCTTAATTCCCCTTTTCACTCTGTCTCACCGTCCACATTCTTTCCATGAGCAACTGATGAGGGGGGAAGAAAAGGAATTATGGAAATGAGAAGAGGTGGGAATGAGGAGAAAGAAGATGACAGTGGGGTGGAAGCCAAGAAATAAATAGAAGGCAGTGGTGGCCAGAAAAGCAGACAAAGTCTAAAGAGAGGGAGGGGAGCCACAACAAAAAGAAACAGTGATGGGAGCAGCAAATAGTGAGGAGGAGAGAGAGGAAGGAAGCGGTTGGCGACGGCAACAGCACGTTTGCCCGACACTAAAGAAGTGGACCAGTGGGACTGCTAGACCCTCGCTGTCTGCACCCCCGTCCCCCTCCTGTCTCTTTCTCTCGCACGCCTGGTTGGCTGCATTGTTCAGTCAGGTACAGCGCCGTGTCGCATCCACCCAAATGTCGCTGAAACAAGGGGAAGCCAATGGACCTGGCATACCATGGGAAGAGGGGATAATGGGGTGGAGGTTGGATCCAACGTAACTACAGACACCTCCGTGGTGCGTTTGTAATATCTCATTAATAGGAAAGAAGGAGCTCTGTGGCATGAAAGTGGCGGCTGGAAATGTACAGAAACACAAAGCATCCGGGCCCCGTTTTCAACAAGGAACGACAGATGTTGTTGACAAAGGAGCAAGGATGAAATAAGCGGCGGCCATATTGAAATGATACAAAGTTAAAAACAACCATGGTGACAATATCAATGCTGAGTGGAACAGCTGTCTGGGTTGATAACACCTCAGATGATATGCAGGTAGCTCTTTCACCCAGCCGTCAGTTGTCCTTCCCCACTCAGTCCCTGATACAAAGGCAACCAAACTGTGTGGGCTCACTGTGTATACACACACACACACACACACACACACACACACACACACACACACACACACACACACACACACACCACACACACAACACACACACACACACACACACACACACACACACACACACACACACACACACACACACACACACACACACACACACACACACACACACACACACACACACACACACACACCATCTACTATCCATCCCTTGAGTCCCCATTAGGGCCCATTCATCTGTGTTTCACCCCTGTCCCGTGGGGATACTTACAGGCCACCTGTACTTCTGTGCGCCTCTGCAGCAGGGCTCCCACACGATTCCTCACGATGCAACGGTAGAGGCCGGCATGGGAGCGGTCCAATGAGGGGATCAGGTACCTTTAAATAAGCACAAAAACACACAAGACACGGATGAGGATTCTCTTAAATTGCAATCAACTGTTAAACTAATTACCAATAAAGTGGAAATCAAAGGAGTATTTATGTAAGCGCACAAACACGGGTTTTTGCAAATGTGTACTCATGAAACGTGCCGAAATCAACGCTTGAGTGCACACACGTAAACGCAAGACCGTCTAATAGAGGAACAAGGGCACAGAGGACATCGGAGCTTAGCTATTGTTTATTTCAATGATAATGATGCTCGAGAGGCTAACCCAGCAACCACAGCAAAGCTCTCTCCCAAGACACACACACACATACTCGCGTAGACAGGCAGCATTAACATTTCCTCTATGCAAACACACACATGCACAGCCTCCCCTGGGACGCAGGTTAAAGCCATGTGTCTCCAGCAGTTGACACTCTTCCTCTGACCTTGACTCCAGGGTCCAGCTGTGGTGGCAGTACTGCCTCCCTGCCATGTGGAGGCAGCGTAACATATACTTTATAAAGCTGCTGAAACAAGCCAACACAACAAGTGGCAAGTAATGTTACAAATCATGATTACCTATTTATTTAGCAAAATAAATATAATAAATAAAAAACCCACTTACTGTATGGAGCACTATATGGCTTATTATGCATTCAGATTTGAGATGTATTGTCCCACAGGTTTTCTTTTCCCCACAGTTGTGACACATAAATATACAGCGTTATACATAACTAACTAATGATAACTTTATTTGTATAGCATCTTTCATGCAGGTTACAGCCCTAAGTGCTTCACAGAACAAGCAGAAAAAACACAACAACATTATAATAAGTAAAAACTAGTATGAACAAAGGAAACAGTGTTCGATCGCAATGCAATGGAATACAAACAATGACACAGGTCAAAATAGCCTAAATTAAAAGCCATAACAATTACATTAATATATAAAAACAATGCAAGTACATAAAATGAAACATATACTGATATTAATGTACAGTATTATGTTAATAAGGTACAATTAGAGTTAAATACGCTTACCAAAAAATGCAATAACAAATACAATATGTTTACTAAATACAGCTCAAGGTATTTAAAAAAAATCTGTACAAATCTGAAAGTCACCGTCCCTTAAGGCAGTGATTAATTTGCACTTTTCACCATTTCATTCTTCCCACAATGACTTTGTACAGTCCGTTGAATTGTGACTGCAATTCTGCAAAGACACGCATAAGATACAGAACTCTTGTAAAGAGATCGGGGAGTGTATGCAGTTAGCAGGAGGCTATGATGATTGTAAGTGGCCATTTAAAACGCCCCTAATGGTCCTGTGTGAGCCTGTGTGTGTATAACAGCTGTTAGACAGCATCACTTGTGAACTAACAACTGCTCTATTGGCTCCAGGAGGAGACTCCGGTAGATACTCATCAGTGATCAATGTTTGCTTGACTGTGTGCCTGTGTGTCTCTTTCGATATCTGCCATACACCAGGGTATATCTGTGAGAGATAACCCCAACATCACTGCAATACAGAATAGATTGGTCTAAATCTTTTCAGAGATCAGGCCTGCCGAGTGCTCAGGCATCGTCTTCATAACAGCCTTCCAATAACTAATAAATGGCGGTGTAGTGGGGGAGGCATGGAGCGGCCAACTGTTGGTCTCTAGGGCATGTGAGATGGCGGAACAGCATGAAGCAAGTTGTGAATTAGCTTAACGCAAGTTGTGCATGTTCAGTTTGAGTCTAGCACAAAACACTCTTGTAAAATGAATACTTCTTGTGGGAGGTGAAAAATGTGTCACAATGAGTGTGTCTGCCATCTTTGCTGCTGTCATATTCCTGCATGTGCTTGAGAGTGCTTAGCGAACTGCCAGACAGGAAGCCAGAGTGTAACCCTCGCTAATTGAGTAGTATATATAATAGTTTATTTTTTGTGATCGACTTTTGTTTCAAATTGTTTTTTTTGCATTAATATAGGTTTGGTAAGAGCTCAAGTGAATGAAATACAAGTAAAAGAGAGCAATTCAAAAGTTCAGAAGTGCTTTCAACAAGCTGATTCCAGGAAAGTGTGGATGCTTTCACAACAATCACGCTCACATTGAGGACTATAGGAGTCATAAAATTGGTGCCATGACAAGGATTGTTCTTCAAAAATAAGTAAGTGCTATAATTTGGGTATGATGTTGCCTAAACAAAGGACTCTGAATAATATGAACAAAAGAGGGTACACTGAACAAAAATATAAACGCAACACTTTTGTTTTTACTCCGATTTTTCATGAGATGAACTCAAAGATCTAAAACATTTTCTATATACACAAAATAACCATTTCTCTCAAATATTGTTCACAAATCTGAAAAAATCTGTGAGCACTTCTCCTTTGCCGAGATAATCCATCCCACCTCACAGGTGTGGCATATCAAGATGCTGATTAGACAGCATGATTATTGCACAGGTGTGCCTTAGGCTGGCCACAATAAAAGGCCACTCTAAAAATGTTCAGTTTTATCACACAGCACAATGCCACAGATGTCTCAAGTTTTGAGGGAGCATGCAATTGGCATGCTGACAGCAGGAATGTCCACCAGAGCTGTTGCCCGTGAATTGAATGTTCATTTCTCTACCATAAGCCGTCTCCAAAGGCGTTTCAGAGAATTTGGCAGTACATCCAACCGGCCTCACAACCGCAGACTACGTGTAACCACACCAGCCCAGGACCTCCACATCCAGCATGTTCACCTCCAAGATCGTCTGAGACCAGCCACTCGGACAGCTGCTGCAACAATCGGTTTGCATAACCAAAGAATTTCTGCACAAACTGTCAGAAACCGTCTCAGGGAAGCTCATCTGCATGCTCGTCGTCCTCATCGGGGTCTCGACCTGACTCCGGTTCGTCGTCGTAACCGACTTGAGTGGGCAAATGCTCACATTCGATGGCGTCTGGCACGTTGGAGAGGTGTTCTCTTCACGGATGAATCCCGGTTTTCACTGTTCAGGGCAGACGGCAGACAGCTTGTGTGGCGTCGTGTGGGTGAGCGGTTTTCTGATGTCAATGTTGTGAATTGAGTGGCCCATGGTGGTGGTGGGGTTATGGCAGTGGCGAGCCGTGACTTTTATACCTAGGCCCACTGCACCACTTGCATAGACCTCACAGCGGGCGGAACTTGTCATAAAGTCCGCGAAAATAAAGCCCGCCCATTTAGAGGAAAGATATGATTGGTCAATTGTACTGTCATTTGACATTACTCTCTCGTTGAGTTACTATAGCGGGCCCTCTGTGAATGTAGAGAGGGACCAACAAGCTCTCCCGTCTTCACATAACTCGCAGAGACGGCATTTAACCCTTCACATTCCAACATAAACTGAACAGGCAGATTTGAAGGATTTATTTCTTTGGAAATATTATTTTAAATACAATTAAATCAAGTTATTTTGGTAAAACTAATGAAAAATGTAACATCAAAAAAATATTAATAATAATATTTAAAAAAAAATGTTTTTTTTTTAATGTTTTCAAATATTATTTTTTAGAATATCTTAGCCCCTCACAGAGGGCCTAGAGGGTCCTGACGGCTCGCCACTGGGTTATGGTATGGGCAGGCGTATGTTATGGACGACGAACACAGGTGCATTTTATTGATGGCATTGTGAATGCACAGAGATACCGTGACGAGATCCTGAGGCCCATTGTTGTGCCATTCATCCACGACCATCACCTCATGTTGCAGCATGATAATGCACGGCCCCATGTTGCAAGGATCTGTACACAACTCCTGGAGGCTGAAAACATCCCAGTTCTTGCATGGCCACTAGGCCAGCATACTCACCAGACATGTCACCCATTGAGCATGTTTGGGATGCTCTGGATCGGCGTATACGACAGCGTGTTCAGTTCCTGCCAATATCCAGCAACTTGGCACAGCCATTGAAGAGGAGTGGACCAACATTCCACAGGCCACAATCAACAACCTGATCAACTCTATGCGAAGGAGATGTGTTGCACTGCGTGAGGCAAATGGTGGTCACACCAGATACTGACTGGTTTTCGGACCCCCCCAGACCCCCCCCAATAAAGCAAAACTGCACGTTTCAGAGTGGCCTTTTATTGTGGCCAGCCTAAGGCACACCTGTGCAATAATCATGCTGTCTATTCAGCATCTTGATATGCCACACCTGTGAGGTGGGATGGATTATCTCGGCAAAGGAGAAGTGCTCACTATCACAGATCTTTTCAGATTTGTGAACAATATTTGAGAGAAATGGTTATTTTGTGTATATAGAAAATGTTTTAGATCTTTGAGTTCATCTCATGAAAAATCGGAGCAAAAACAAAAGTGTTGCGTTTATATTTTTGTTCAGTGTAGTTTCAGACACAAAAGCTTACTTAATGAAAACTAATACAAAAGCAGCCAGGCATGCCTTCAGCATTCAGAGAGAAGTTAATATCAATATTCGGATGAGTAATAAGTTAAAACAAACCAACATCCAATTAGGAGCCGTCAGAAAAGCTGTGGCGGAGATATTTAAAGTCTCTGAACTGAATGAAATACCATTCCTTCAAAAGGATCTGTGTTCCTAATACAACCTTCTACTTTTTAATACCCATTCTACCATTATATTTCATATTCCAGATGTCTTTGTCTTTGGCATTATGCCACACATGCCAGGATGTCTTATTGCATTTGGTGGCATTTTGCTAGCTTGCTTTTCTGGCTATTCTGACCCACAATCCTTCACAAAGGGGATGGTTCAAAGTTGATGGTGCAATGTCAAAATGTTTAACAGAAAGACAACGCTATATAAGGGTAGCTTATTACATTACAAATGTTTATTTTTAAGCAGCCATTTGTTTGTTGATGCTGAGGGTGGAGTGCACCGCCACCATCCAACTCCATTTTGATTCCTATCAAGTTCTATAGTGAAGCATCTGCCTTTATTTCCCAATCAGTCTTTTCTTAAATGTGTCACTAGTGAACTCAAGTTGTGGTAAATCTTTAAGAGACTAACA